CTGTTAGATAACGCTAGCTGAACTGTCATTGTTTTTTACTTAAACGAGTTTTTCTTCTTCTGGTGTTTTTGGCAGTTACCATACGTCTTCAGATGCATTACTACCTCCTTCTCGACTGGAGGACGCCTCATATACGTATAGCTGGGAAAACCAAGACGCGTTGGATTTAGATTTGTGATCCAGCCAACACAGACGTGTCATGCAGCTAGTGTACATTTTATCCTGATATAAGACACTTTACGTGTGAATGGGGCCCTAGTTAACAGATGAGTTGTCAAGCAAATCCGGTTTATTAATCGACGCACTTTATGACAAACGGCCGAGTTCAAATTAGCAACAATGTTGAAATCACTATATTGAAATGTGTTGTCAAATGATTTGTGTGTAGATCCCTTCCACTCATTTAATTTAAAGCTCTGAGATGTGCTCACAGGAACCTGCTTAGTTATACATCACAATCAGTCTGTTGGATTGACACTGTGAATTTTTGTCACAAGTAAATGCATTTGAAAATTGAGTATTGTCATACAGCTTGTTCTTGAAATAGCCTCTTTGTTTTAAAATATTAAATACATTTTTGCTTTATTGGAAACCCTGACTTATGTTAGCAGCCCATATTTATCACCAAAATCCAATTATCAGATATGAGACATTATGCAAGCTAGTATGTCAGTGAAATCAGTTATTTCAAAATGAGCTTCTGTAGCTCCTGTACAAACATCTAAAGCAGAAATACTCAGCTGTTCAAAGGGTTAGTGTTTAAAACATTTGCATCATGGTTGCGTGCGTAGTCTTTTATTCAGTTGGGTATCCATTACTGTTTGAATTTTGCAGCACACCAGATAATGCATTAGTCTGATGCCAGAAATCAGTGCAGTGTTATTGATGATAAGGAGGTATTACTGCAGCTCCCTGCTGACACCGAAGACTTATAGCTTGTCATTTTATTTCAGTTTTATGAGCTAGCACAGGGCTGGCAGTGTACTCTGACATTACATAGACTGTTAGTTTCATAAAAGATAGACAAAATAATTTCCCAAATTCATAACATGTTTTTATCTAATGAAATATTCTGTTTCTGTACATATTTTTTGGCGTTTTTATTGCGGTCTAAAAATGGTTTGCTCTCCCGATTGCTGCACACACCTGTATTAATGTGGTATTCTAGTAGCATCTAACAGCACCATAAATAACATTCCCCACAATAGCAAATAATCTAATTCAGCTCTAGTAGTTTATGACATTGTTACATGCTAGGTCACAGTCCCGTCCTTTCCTGTCTGTAATTCACTTTTGTGTAACTAAAATATTTTGAAAGGTGTGTAGTAGTCGAAACGTACAGTGGTAATTAGTTTTTACCATGGCACAGTCACTGTGTCGCTCTATGCTTTCTCATTTCTCTGAGTAATTTCTGGTTTTGGGAAGTAAATTGGAAGTCTTTGAATCTTGTTTACATTCCATAGAGTGCTTATGTATACATGCACATATTCTTGACATTGTTGGATTAGAGTTAAAATTAGCAATAATTTACTTCTCCATAGAGTGATCTGGGTTTAGTTAGTGTTGAGAGTTATTTCAGGAGAAAGAATTAGTGTTTTTCGGGTGTTTGTGGTCATGAGGCCTGCGTGTCACTCCCAGCAGACTCATTTTGTGGCTCCTCCCTCAGTGGCAGGATGTCCTGTTTTAACTGGCCCAATAATCCCCACCCTGCCAGACTATTGGCTGTCTCCGTTTGCTCTTTCTCACTGTGTGTGTGTGTTTTCTCATTCTCATTGTGTGTGTGTTCCTGACACACCTACAGGTCGTCATCCACTGATTTTTATTACAGAATAAAAGGCCATACTAGACGCATCAAGTCTGCATGCATCGGCTCTCGTGCACTGCATCAGGTGATTCATCAGAGTGTACTAAAGGGGTGGGTTAAGTCACAAATTCTTAATTTGATTGTACACACTATGCAACCGCAAACACACTCAGTTGTGTTACGTGTGTAATCTCACTGACGGAAAAATTGTGGATATATATTTTTTTGAACCCAAACAAGCATATTGTTTTTCTACAAATTTACATGCTGCGCAACGGTTTTGGCCTGTGATGATTTGTTGATTCATGTGGAACGACTAACTTGACCACTTGACCACTGATGATTCAACTTATCTCATATTGCTTTGGGAAAACTTCAGGGGGGGAAAAAATAGTAAGCTACAGAACTGAAAAAGTGCAATTCATGGCGTTCCCACTCCAGGTTCCAATGATTTGTTAATACCAGAACAGTTTAGAGCAGGTCAGGGCTCAGGAATGAAGGGCAGTCGAAACAAAAAGCAAAAATCTTGTGTTTCATAAGTTGATCCCAGAACACCGCTCCCACATGCGTCCACAAATCCCTAGCTTGCAAGGGAGAGCGGACGACTTGAGCATTTCCATGTGTGATTTGTGAGCTGGCCTACTTTCTGTTTGTGTATTGTCTCTGTGTTTCTTTGCTCCCGTTTTAGTTCCCTTGGTAAAGGCCCACAGTCTATTGTTCTCTCTGAGTCAACATTTAATATTATTCAATTCAGCTTTATTGTCATTAACACAATGTGCAGGAGGACATACTTGGCATAAAATAAAGACAGATAAAGACAAAAATATAAAAAATATTTAAACAAACTTGTATTGAATGAGGTAGTCTACTTAAACATGGCAGAAGTGGGGAAAAAAGCAAGCAGTGTAAAAGGAGAGCTCTAATAAATCTTTGCTAAAGGCATTTAAATATTGCAGTAGTGCAAAAGAAAGTTGTTGGTAGAGTTCAGTGGGCCAGGTAGCCAGGTTCAGATGAGTAACAGCTTGGGGAGAAAGATTTAACCCAAAGTCCACGTTGGTGTTAATGCTGTTGGAAACCTCTCCTTTATTTAACATGGGATAATATTTAGTTTTATGCTAGATTTACATCCTTTGTATTGGGAGGATAAGTGTATTCTCTGTGTGGATGAATGCTGCCATTAAGCAGCCTGCAGGGTTACAGATGGAACTAAGCTGAAAGACAGGCCTGTGGTGGTTACATAAGTCGGCCTTTGTCGTGTCATTGTGCCTCTGTGATGAGCCTGGCTCTGGCCAACAGTGGAAATGGCCTCATTAACCTGCAGAAAATCAACATTTAACACATCTCACCACTGTTTACCAGGCAGATATGGACTCATTTCAAGACCAATCTGACAATATACACACGTAACGCACTGTAATAACTAATAGATGTTTCTCATACTTGATATCTAACATTGTGTCCTACTGCTTTAATGTCTACATCAGCACTGCAAACATTGTCCTATAAATGGGTCGAGTCATCAAATTGGTCAAATTCATAGTTGTAACTGTGGTATTTAAAGCAGGTAGCGTAAAGACTGGAAGAAGAGACAACTGCTGGCCTATTTTTGTCAAAGGTCGGTCCAGATCCAAAGCTGCCGTAACTAGGGATGCAACAATCAGATATTGATATCGGATATCAGCCTGACACTGACTCAAATACCTAGATTGGGTATCGCAACAAGGGGGTGATCTAATCAAATATGCACATACTATCAGCAGTGTGCTGGTAGATCTGAACATTTTGCTACAAGAGCTAACATAGCGTTTTGTTCTACAAAGTTAGGAAGCAACGTTTAGGTCAAGTCTGATGTAAATGCTCCGTATTTGTATAGCGCCTTTCTAGTCTTATCGACCACTCAAAGCGCTTTTACACTACATCTGGATTCACCATTCACACACATTCATTCACTGAGCCTAAGTGTAGTGTTCGAGGGCACTTTGGGGTTCAGTATCTTGACCGAGGACACTTCGACATGCAACCTGGAGGAGCCGGGGATTGAACCACCGACCTTCCGATTATCGGGCAACTCGCTCTACCTCCTGATGTTGCCTTACACATAGGGCTGGGCGATAAGGCCAAAAATGTTATCACGATAAAAACATTTCATTTCATTTGATATCAATTATTATCACAAGATATGTCAAATCATTATTTCTTTCAAGTTTAAAGGCTGATTTTTGCTCCTGATTGAAAATTGAAAAAACCAGATGGTTAATTATGTGATAACTTTTCTTTATGGTCAGAATGTGACAAACGCTTGATACCAAACAGTGCATCACTTCACAAATCTGGGTTGGAAGATTCAGAGCTGTTATGATAAAATCTATTTTCAACAAATATGATTAGTTAATCTTTTTTCAGGCCTCTTTTTCTCAACAAAATACATATTTTTAGTAGAAAAATTAAGTGCTAATTTGTCTGTGATTCAAATGAATTAAACCAAATATTTATTGACGATATATTGAACATTTATTATATTGTTATTGAGGAAAATTATATTGCGATAATTATCATTATTGTTTTATTGCCCAGCCCTACTTACACATAAAAGAATGATACCTAGTCTCTTCCTCACAGTGAGGAATACAGCTTAATCATTTTACAGTGATATCGATCGGCACTTTACATAGTAAAGTTGCCAACTTTACACATGCCCCTAACTCTGAAGAAAACACAGCTTATTCTCGGATGCACTGAAAGCTAACTGGCTAGTTGTCAGAGGTGTAATTCTTCCTCTTCTGATGGAGCCTAGTTGTTTTGCCCTTAGTTCACATTGTTTGTTTTAATATTCTCCTCGTATTTAATGATTTATTTATTTTTAATTTTCTGTTGGTCTAGCAGTTGATTAATCAACAAATTGTTAGAGCTCAATATTTGAGAATTTACTTAAAATTTGAATGTTTAGACATAAAGTTAATGTCCTGAAGTGATCAAAATGATTTCAGGTGCCATTCTATGTCTGTACATACTACAGACTATACATTTTCACTTAACATGATTATTTCAACAAAGTTTACACAAAAAGAAGGAAAAATGTGCGCTGATATGTTTAAATAAACTGGAAGGAGCTTATTTAAAGAAACAAATGGATAACAAACAATCTGAATAACATGGACTGACCTCTGTATTTGTCCCTCCTCTTGTGTCTCTGTAGTGGAGGGTGAAGGTCAAGGTCGCATTCTCCAGCGGTTTCCTGAGAAAGACTGGGAGGACAGCCCGTTCCCACAAGGCATAGAGCTGGTAAGTCGACACTTACTGACATGTTCCAGTGTAGCTCAGTGGCTAGAACAAGGCATGTAACCCTGTCAGGGTTAGGGGTTCACTTCCCTGGGCAGCTCAGTGATTGGAGACACTGACTTCCAGTATTACAGGAGTGACTGATGCTTTTCATCACACTCTGAACTGGATGAGAGGATTTTTTATGGTGATTGCAGAGTATCAGTTATGGATAAGTGCGTCTGTTGGAAAGTTTTAGCAGAAATAGGGGAGTCAGCAGTGCTAAAGTCCTGTTGTGTTGAATGGCGCTTTTTATGCCTATAATGGAACTGGGTTCTTGTGGTTTGTCTGAAGTATATCGCCTCCAGCCCCAAGTTATTTAGAGAAAGCAAACACTTTGGTCCACAGCAAGTAACTTAAAGGTTCAATGTGTAATTCCTGGCCACATGCATTGAAATTTCACAAGAACAGCAGGAGTGAGGCAGAAAAATCAAAAGTTTTGGAAAGCACGGGATACATTGTTCCTTATTTATCAGAGTCACGTCGTTTAAATATTAATAATAATTAATAATAATATATCATTTATATCGTTAATAGTAGATTAACGGTGAGATTTATTTATTTTATTTGCCATATTCCGCCACGGCTTAATTGGTTAACATGAGTGCTGAAAGGAAGCGGGATGCGTTTCAGAGTCGTTCGCGGTGGTTGGTCCTCCTGTGTGTCCCTGGACAACAATGATTATACTGCCAGTCTGCCCAATCAGAGACAGAGAAGATCAAGCGGTGGCAGGAGACAAAAAAGTAGAGGTAGCGGAGGAAAGAGAGGTCGAGCAGCGTGAGAGAGAGAGAGAGAGAGCAGCTTGTGCAGCATTGATGGACAAGCCCTCTGAGCAGCTTTAATTCTTCATCCTTTCTTAGTGTTATTACAAGACCGCACGGGCCGGTGCTAGCTCGTTAGCATGCTAACTGTTTCTTCTTCACATTCTGCTGATCATGTTAGTTCATTTGTTTTAAACTAACATTCTGGCCTAACCTTCCACATTGTACCTTTGACACTAATCAGATATATTTATAATATTTCGGATGAAAATGCATGGTCTTATGAGGCTGAATTCTATTTTTAATGACCCACTGACTTTCTTCCAATGCTACCAATTTTATTTATCACATTACTTTCAAGGCTCTAGGAGGCAAAATATCCATATGCTGTCCAACAGTATTATGGGGGTGTAAAGGACATTGTCTCTAGGGGCCAGTGGGGCTTTATACTTAGGCCTAAGTCTTGAAGAATATATAAATAAAATATATTTAGCCTAGAAGCAACCTAAATAAATGCTGTGTCATGTACAATGGAAGATAGATCTTCAGGAGTTGGAAAGATAGCAGAAGGTTGATTTAATGGTAATCAAATCAGTGGGATTTAGTTTTCACACAAGTACCCAAAGAAAGGGCTTGCCTGTTTAGAAACTGAGCAAGATGGAGGAGGTCACATATTGATTAGGGATGCACCGATGTGTTGGAACACCAATACTGATCTCATCAAGCGGATTGGGTATAGGCCAAATGTCACCAATCCACATTAAATACAGTTTTCTGTTCCTTAAAGATCATTGACAACATGGAGTAAGTTAATGTGTGCAAATCTACTCCTAAAACCACTTCCTTCACAATAAAAACATTTTAAAGTGAAGGCACTGATAGACCTTTACTGTGAAACAGGAAAGGTCGACAATGGCTTTTGTGGTTAGCTAATGTAACCAAGAACGTACTCCATGTTGTTTTTATTACGTTAGATTTATACATTTTCTGCAAAAGTTTTTGTTTAGAAGTCATTTTGAAACTTTGCATGAACCAGATATATATTTTTACATGTTTAACAAAGCTTAATACAGGCCAACGGCACAGTAAATGTGAAGACTGATGTCTTTTTGAACAACAAACTTATAGGAAACACTACTGGAGATGTGGATTTAGTGATGAAATTACATACGAAAACTGTAAAATATAAAACTTTCTGTTGCTGGACTCTGTCTGGTGCGCTCAATGACGATGCAGTGAATAGTGGCGATTCTCTCTGACCAATCAGTAGTCTGCTGTGTATTCATGTCACATTTTAGTATCGCCTCAGCTCGCTTGGAACTTTGATGGCGGTGATACGAAAAAAAAGTACCAGTAAGAAGGTACAGGTACAACTTTTCTGCAATGGAAAACCAAACAAAGGCGAGTAGGGTCGAGCCGAGTCGAGCTGGTACTATGCAGTGGAAAAGGGGCTATACAGACTGAGTGAACACCTGGCCATAGAACAGGGTCGCCACAGACAGAGCTGGCTACCACAAGAGGAGAGACTCAGTCCCAGTGCGACAGAGGACAGGTAGAGACAGAGCTGCACTTTCTAACCTCATGCCCTAAATATGAAACATTTAAGAGAAAAGCACTTCGCAAATATTTCACAAATATACCCCGAATTCGAATTTATATCAGACACACAGAAACTCCCCTATTTACTGGGAGAAATGCCAGAATGCCAGATCCAACCATCCTTCGTCAAGCGCGAATCATCGGGCGAAAGGCGGTGTACACCCTGGACAGGTCGCCAGTAGAATGCCAAATCATTGCAGCAGAAAAATGTCCTTATGCCACAAACTGAGGACCACCAGTGGAAACTCAGTCTTTACTGATAAATATATTAAATAATTGTTTTAAAACGTTTTAAATTTTTATTTTTTTATTGTTATTTTAGTAATTGTTCCTTTATTTGCTTGTTTTTTTTATTTCACATTTGATACTTTGTATATGTATTTTTATTTTTTATTTTTTGTCTCAATACATACACATACACACGGTTACTATTTATTATTTATTATTATTTGTTTTATTTTCATTTTTAATATATTTTAACACGCACACACTTAGAATCAGAATCTGCTTTATTTGCCAGGTATGTGTACACATACGAGGAATTTGACTCAGGATTGTACATTGCTCACGATGTGCTTACTCATACAATAACACAATATTTAAATCAAACACAGACTCCAGTAATTATTTGTAGCTTTGACAGTACTATTGTTTTACATTCTTGCCAATAAAGTTGTTCCTCCTCCTCTTCCTTTTCCTTCTCCTCCTAGTTTTGTCAGCCCAGTGGTTGGCAGCTGGTTCCTGAGCGGCAGCCTGCCTCCTTCTTTGTAGCGGTTTTGACAGACATCAACTCAGAGCGTCACTACTGTGCCTGCTTCACCTTCTGGGAGGGCCTGGACAACCCACAGGTGAGACAGACGTCAGCTGTTGACTGGTTATCCATCTAGGCCTCAAGACTAGTACTGGGCTGTGTAAATGTAAATGCTCTGTATTTGTAAAGCTTTTACACTACATCTGCATTCACTCACATTTATACACTGGCGGAACAGCCCCATATATCATATTTTGGAACGATGGTCAGTTGACACCCTGGGACATCTTATAAAAGAAATTACTTTGTAACCAAAGAAGATCGTAAATACATCCTGAACTTCACACATATTTGAAATTTTCTCTTTGAATTAGCACAATTTTATTTATTATTATTTATTTTATTAGGTGCATAAAATATCTATTTGTTGAAGTTAAAGCTGGTATAGGTAACGTAGGGGAGAAAGTATCCAACCGAAAGAAATCCCACTCCCCACAAACACATTTTTATGCATGTTACTGGCCAAATAAAATAATGAGCTGGGCTTATTAGCTTTGTTGGAACACTTACTTGGCCAGGAAGCACTTCTACTCGGGACTGTACGGAGTCAGATCAGTCTCAGTAGTAAATGAAGTTCAGTCCCTCAGTTAATGAATGCACAAAGAAGGATTCACATATGTATTTGGGGATTTATTTACAGTAAAACTTTCAATGCGCACAAAAATATGTAACATTGTATATAAATGTAAAACAAAAAAAAAAAGTTCACAAATATATGCGTTTGAAAGTATTTGCATTTTTCATCCAAAACATATTTGGACGTTGTTACATTCAGATACGAACTGTTGAAGTTGCATTTACAAACTGTTTGCCGTGTGTGAACTTTTTAAGACCACATTGCTGGGGCTCAATTTTTTTCAAAGGTGAACTATCTGTAGCCAATCACATGGCTCCATCCACTTCAGTCAATCACATAAGCACAGATTTGAGGGTCTCATCTGATGTCTTCACGTTATATTTGGTGTTCTCTATGTTCAGCTGCAGAAGGCTGAGGCCAGCGAGGCAGATGAGGTGGATGAGGAACCGGCTGTCGTCCAATCAGCTCAGGTCTTTGCCCCCAAGAGCCTGGTGCTGGTGTCCCGGCTGGACTACACCGAGGTGTTCAGGGTACGACACACACAACAGCTCCAGCTGCTCTATCAGTTGTACATCTTTTGTGGAAAATGATAAATTAGCACATTCTCTATCATGTGGGGCACACAGAGGCTAAATCACTATAATATAAAACATAAACATTATTGTTTTTTTTTAAGGTACTATGAAAACACTATTCTTTATATGCTAAATAGCACGGGTGTGACGAGACACTTGAACGACGAGATTCGATATTCAACACTGGGTTCACGAGCTCGAGAAGAGACGACATTTTAACAAAGATTTAAAGAAATCTTTAATGCTGAATTATGAAAGTTTTGAGCATCAAACACTTTATTGCCTGCTTTCTGATGAGTTTTTCTTTGCCCGTTTATGGTGATTTTTTATTTATTTATATAAAGATAAACACAAAATTCAGGTGGCAGGTGACAGTTCAAACTCTAAAGCCTAACTAGATCTGTTTCACCTGTATATCAACTTTTCTCATGTAACATCATCGCTGCTGAGTCATGATTTAGTCTCCTCAATAATAAATTATTACTTTTTAATTTAGTTATAAACTCCTGGACTTTAATAACTCCTGTGTTTCAGCAGCGTTTCTGCACATGTTCATAACTTTCTGCACATTTAAAATCTCTCCCACTTATCGTGTGTTCTCTGATATGTCCAGAAAAAAGGCAGAATATTACCAGACTAACATCATCATTTGATGAGAAGTCTACTTGCCCTTTACTCTGCTGTGCATTACGTTATTTATTCACTGGTAGTAACGTCATCCCCTTCAGACCGTTTGACCAACGCAGTTTGGGACCGCATATTGCATGTGAAACTTAGAGTAAATGAAACCCGTGATCAGGCGGAAATCTCACCACAAATCTACACACGTTAACTTCAACAGCTCAGATAAAGTGCGGCTTACAGTTCCAAACAGAGCACGCTAGCTTCAGTTTTTTATGTTTTGTTGCAAAACTCTACCAGCTACGTTACCACTCGTCACAGCTGTCTGGACTGTCTGGATATGCCGGTGTCAGTCAGCTGTGCGATGATCTTATCAGTTATACATTTGTATTTGTCTGCATCAGAAAATGAATGTGTTGCTTGACAGCATGTGAAAAATGTAATTTGCGTGAGTCTCGCGAGATAGCTTTTTACCTGACGAGGAATATCGTCACAATTTAATCGCGCGAGATCTCGTCACACCCCTACTAAATAGCATTTGATAAATGATTTTGATTTTTTTTAAATAATACAGTAATATTAATAATTTCCTTTACTTTTGATATTGTGTCCAGTAAAGAAGCGATGTCTGGCCCTGTGGCATATTGACCCTTGACTTCTGTCCTTCCCTCTTGATTGAACAGAACTGCCTGGGTCTGATCTACACCGTCCATGTAGATGGCCTGTCTGTCCCATTGGAAACGGTGATTGGAAATCTTCTCACTTGTATCATCCCCATCGCTGGAGGCTCACAGGTAACTGCTAACCACTTATCTCTCTCTGACACCTGCACAAATTCACTGCGCTACAAAGGAAACGTCAACGATGGTGATTTGATGTCTTATAGACCACAGCTGTCGAACAGCAAGAGAAGGGGGCTCTATTCTTCAGTCCCATTTCTTATGCTGTTACAATTCTTTGGCCTTGCTGGGTGGTATACACTCCATGTGTTACTCCATGCCTTGCTCAGCAGCGCAGCTCATTCAGGCAATAAGCAGTGTAGAGAAGTAGAGCTTGGCGCAGCCTGCTAGTATATTTCCCTTTTTAGCATGGACTACTAAAGCTGACTGCTGACATCGCTAAACTTGAATCCGCATAAGCTTGGTACAGCAAATACTAGCTGTTGTTGGAGAGGTTTGGACCCTGTATAACTTGATGATTATGCATATGCAGACGTGCTTATAACCTGCCTGCACATTTATTTGTGCATGCACAATTGAATAATTTATAGATTACTATCTAGAGCCATGAGGTTTAAAATCACACTCATCTTCTTGTTGAGTGTGACTCATCTTTTCCTGATGGGCGGTGCCATATGCAGCTCAGTCAGACGTCCTGTAAACACATTTTAGTGTAGACGTTTTAGCATCATTTCACTTCATTTTCATTGTTATGGGCTTACCTGGGAGACTTCGGATTTTGCAAGCAATGTTGGCCATGGAAGAAAACAACAATCCTTCCATTTATTTGTTTATAACCAGACGAACAAAACATGTTTGTGTTTTATTTTACATAACGTCATATCTGACATACCAACTCAATACTTGCAACTGAGCTGTGTTGATTTCTTAGTGTAGTTGCTGCATATACAGAATAACTTCAACAATGAGCGACACTGTTTTTCCTTCATGCTGATGTTTCATCATTGTATTTTACATGAGAGCTCATTTAAATTTTACCATTTACCTTCCCCCCTTTCACTCATTGTTTTCATATATTTTGTTAGAACAGTAATTTTTTTAATCTCACCTCCAGAAAATAGTGACATCTTTTTGTGTTTTAACCGTTTTTTATTTTGCAAGTAAACTAAACATCCCTATTACCCTTATTCATGCTCATGGTGCACACACAGTAGGAAGTGTCTATTTCCTCTAAATGCACATCAGTTGAACCTTCCCACTGTGGTTTCCAGATGCTATAACCCATGTGTGTCATTTGTGTGCGCTCTACTGTACACTGGTTCCTCTGTGTTACAGATAAATGACTCCCCAGTTTGTAGTTTAGACAAGGTTCCTCAGGCCCTGGCCTGTGACTGGCTGCTGGCCTGTCTCCAGGTAACTTTCCCGTTCTGCAACCTTCACCAATCAATAAGCAGCTCAATGTTGTTGAATCTGTTAATCAAACAGACCGGAGTTGTTTTCTTTTCTTTAAGGAATGTGTTCTTTCTTGCCGTCATTTCAAATCATGCGTGATTGATGGCGCTTCAGCTATTTTTGACCTGCTTTTTTGTGCCTTATGTAATCCAAATTATGTTACATTTCATTTATTTATTTTTGTATCCCTCATGTTTGTCATTATCTTGATTTGTTGCTGCTAGTAATAAGCATTTAAGAACACTGATTATTTTGAAGTTGTTTCATCATTCTCTACAAACACACACACACACACACACACATTCAAACCCGTTGCTGTGCAGGTCGTAGTTCAGTTGCTGGGTGACCATATGGGACAGCAGATGGCTTCCTACCGGGAAGTGCAGCCTCTGAATGAGAGAATGAGATCTATTCAGTATCAACACACATAGTCCCAAACAACAAAGGCTAATGTGCAGCTCTTCTCACACACTAACACACAACTGAAAACACAAACACTCATTGGTGCACGTGGCAAACATAAAGCTTAGTCTTTTATCACTCTCCATCATACTGATGAATTCTGACTAAACTGTTATCAGAGTCATTAAACTGTCATTATAGAGCTTTATATAATACCTATAATGCAATGTAAAATGCCAGGCACACACAGTCTCCCAGTTTGTTTTGCTCAAACAGACAACCATATATATGTACCCAGCTCTTGAGGCCCTTTATAAATAAGTTTGTAGTGTTTCCAGCTAAGCACAAACAGTTCTGTACTTCGACTCAAGAGGAGGACACGTCACCTAGAAACGAGAAACACACACCGACACACTTACATTCCTATAACTGTTTAATCGCTGTTTAAGGACTTTTCTGTCAGCCTCACTAATTGTCCGTCATTCCCACAAGTCTATCGGCCCAAACACACACAACAGATCGACTCCAGCAGCGTAACACTGAAATAATTTCTGCTGTTAGACGTTGTGTGTGACAAACGCTGTCACACATTAAACAGCTTTTGGCACAGATAATCCTTTAAACTTTTGCAGAGTCTACATGGGACTCATGTATGTGTAATAACTTGCACATTACCTCAAACATGTTTACTTGATAGAATCCTGAAATGTGTTTCTCTTAAAATGACCTAACGTGTAGGGTTACAGTAAAACTCTGTATTCAAACAGGTTTGGAAACTGTATAAAATTTCTTGCACAAGACATTCTGATCTCAAGTTATCGTTTGCTAAGCCCTTTTCCTGAACAGCTACTGTCCAATCATAGCTTACCACCTGTAACTATGGAAGGGCAGGTCTGTCAAGCTGTGTACATGGGGCTATGGTAAAGAGGGATTGGGATGGTAGTTTCTTTTTTTACCCCCAAACCCCAAGATATAAGACTAAAAGTGCAATGAATGGATTTAAGAGTGTTTCTCTGCTTTAATGTAAGCTGTAACGTTAGCGTTAGCCTACAATAGTAACTCACCAACGTTTTACGGTTATTGTTGGGTCACAGTATTACGTTTGCCACACTCACTGGTTAGTCCTCATCCTAAAAGCCTTTCGTGTAACATTAAAAGTTCTCAATGTAAATTTAATTTGAACTGTCTTGAGAACGGAAAGCTTGACAACCGTATCAACAGTAACTAAGGGCTTAGTGAATGATCAACTTGGCAAAATGTTGGACAACTGCAGACCTTTGAACTTTTGAGCTACAGTTACATGCAGGCTGCCACATCAACATTAATTGAGTGTCCAAAAGAGGTCCTGCCATGTAACCCTGGACCACCTGGTTTCATATGGAGTAAACGGCTGAGCAGCGTTTGAAATAACTAAACTGACTGAAGTGTGTGGGTAAGACAGCTTGACCAGCAGGACGTCCGGTTATTTATCTGAGTAGTTTACACAACCCTATTGTGAAGTGAACTCAAGGCTGTTGGTCTGATGTGAGAAATGCTGCATTACAAAAGCAGAGCAGGAGGATGGCCTTGCGGTTAGGAAGACCACCCTTAACACAGAGAAGTGGCAAACCATTGAGTTTGTACGCATCCTTTCTCATCAAGTCCTCTTGAACAACATAGTGAATCCCCACAGTCTGTACGCGACCCTGACCTATGACCTGTGTGTGTGTGTGTGTGTGGTGGTGTTTGGAATTCCCCATGGTTGGGGATGACTTTTATTTAGTATGGAACAAAGTCAGTTTCTCATTGTGTCATCCATTAGTGATTGCGCTGTTACAGGAATATGTTTAAATCTCGATCCCTGTTTCTGGACACACTCTGTCACACTGCCAAACACTCTGACTGATTTAATTTAGAGTAACACATTAGAACGTCAAGGCATAACTGAGAGAAACCTGCCTCAAACTGAAAGTTGCACAAGTTGTTCCGCTGGAGGTCATCACCACTTTCTGTCAGTCACAACATGACGGGACACGTTAGCTGTCACGTAGCCTGTGAACTTTAGTTTTTCCCTTTACCTCTTATCGTGGCTTGTGTCAGTGGGTTTACGGTTGGAAGGTGATTGCTGTCTCCATATCAGTTTCAGTACCTGTTGTGTATTTATAACCAGTCACATGGAGTTGAAAAAGCAAAACCGTGGTCAGATGTTTAGTTCAATGAATATATCACCGCTGTAGAAATTCCCTTTGTCCTACTGTTACAGTGTGATTTCAAAACCGTGTTATGGACGTAGGAGTTCATATAGCTAATTTAATAGCCTCTCCTTTTTAACTCTCACAAGAAAAAAGAACCTTGTGCTCAGTGAGGCTCCTCCTCCCTAACTTCATAGTCTGAGACCTTGAATGAACTGCACTATTAAAAGTAATATAATCCACATACTTCCCCCACTATTACTATTATTACTGTTATATATGACAAATGAACTGAACCAGTATTTGTACTGTTGTTGCTCTCTCTTTGTGTTTGTTATTGTACTGCAGAATGATAAACAATGCCTTTACTTTGTTTTGCCCTTGTGTCTGTCATGCCTTATGTTGCACTCATCAGTTGTCATCCTGCAGTTCATGTTTACCATGTTATTGTTTATGCAGCTTACTTGTTTTGCCATACTGCTACATTACATAGTCATATTGTTGTCAGGTTTGGGCATTCTGTGCCCTGACGCCTGTTATTTCTAACCTGTGTCTTATCCCACGGGGTGTTTGTGTGCGTGCGTGTGTGCGTGTGTGTCTGCCCGGGTGCTTGTGTAGCCGGGCCAGGAGGAGGGAGAGGAGAGTTTGGTACGCCAGCCTGACTTAATTCTTCCCTCACCACCAATCAGCTCTGAGCTTTCCTAGCTTCCTTTTCTCCACCCATTCCCCTCAGCCGATCCACTCACACCTCCTGTGGCAGGAGAACCAATGGAAATGCTTTGATACAGACTCAATATGTGACCACCAACTGATCATTCATTACATATTAGGGCAATCTGATACAAGCATCTTTTCCCATATAATGACTATACCAAAGAGTTTGACTTTAGCACTGATAAATGGTGTTTCCCCTGTAGTTCTGTTGAAGATCTGAGATTGAAACTACAAATAGTAGTAAAGTTTAGGTTCCGCAGTACATTTTCAGATTAGTATTCAGCGTAAGTAATGAGTAAATTTAAACGTATAGAAACATTTAATAAATAGTTTATTACATGCTGTAATGTAATTATGTGCAGCTATGAGGACATTTTCAAGGGTGGACAGCTTCAAATAGTTTACTACTCTAGCAAGCTTAGTAAAGATATTTTCTGGGCGTTCTTGCCTTTATTTTACAGCAAAGAGTAAAGGGGGAGAGACAAAGGGTCGCAGGCTGGATTTGAACCGCCTCTTTTTTAGCTCAAATCTCAAGAGCCAAACATGAATTGAACACACCTCATGGTCAGATGTTGGATCACATTATTGAATTGCTAACAGCTCGTCCGTGGTCGCTGACGCTTTTGCTGCTGCCGTAGACAGCATGAAATAACGCTGCATTTTCCCCTCCCATCTAGCCTTGTACACACCAGCCATACTGACTGGGTTATACACAATTTTAAGCCATAATTATGCAGCCCAAACTGACATTGGCAGTCTCATTTTTCAAATTATGGATGACTTAACAGGTAAAGCATAACCTGAAATACTGTGTTCAATAGTACTGATCTTGTGCTGCAGTGCTTAGTTGAACTGTATTATTCTGCTCATTCTCTATTGATTTATATCTTTGCTGTCTAAATCATCCCCATTTCCATTCCCTGATATGCTTGTTATCCAAACCACACACAAATCAATATTTATTGGCTTTGTCCTCAGTCTGAGCACAGTAGATTTCCAGATTTGCAACATCAATTTGGTTATCTGTACTGGAGAACGTAGTTATTAGACACAGTGTGGTGCAAATCAGAGATCCTGAATATCATCCTTTAATAAGCAGCGTCTGTGCTGTTGTAATCTCTTTGAGACAGACACTATTGTTAACCCTTCTACCAATTGCAAGTCAGATCAGATAAGAGTTTTAAACCGTTAAATGTTGGAAATTTTATCCCAGGACACGCTTCATGGATCTAAATGAATCATCCATATAGGTTCACCCTGATTCGAACTCCTTTCGCTTAGTGCTCACATAAGTCTGCAGTGGAAAATCGCCTGTGCATGACACATGCCGCTGGGATTTCTCTCTCTCATAAAGGCTGGTGGTTTGCAGGAAAGTCGTTGGCATGGAGTCCTGCCCAGCTCCATTCATGTCCCGATCAGCTGGAATGGCTTGTGTTTTATTTGTGATGTACCTGCTAAGCTTCTGGGATTCTCCATCTCTCTGTCGCTGCTCACACACTGCTCTCTGGACACGGCCAACTGTGATTAAACCACGCTGTCAACCCCTGATTTTCTGAGAAATAGCGGGACTTCTTTGGTTTTCTCACCTCCCTCTTTAATCCTTCTTTTCTCTCCTCTGTCTTAATCTATAGAGGACTATAACGTTAGGTGCTGGCGACCGGCAAGTTATCCAGACTCCCATCGATGACTCACTTCCTGTCAGTGGGAGCAGTGTGGCCCAGCTCTTCAGACAGCTTGGTACGGACAATTATATAATGGGATTAATTCTACACTTGTCCCCTTTCCAGATAGTGTTTTTTTCCCAGATATTAACTCAGGGTTTAGCTAAACGATGAGGATAGAAGTCATGAATAAATCCTGGTGGCGATCAAATGTGTTCTGTTTTAGTTATTGCCCAGTTCTTTCCCCAACCTCTGCTTTTAAAAAAAAGAAAACATGTAAATTATCTAATGCATCTTACCTGTGCTCTCCTCTCCCTCAGGTATAGTCAACGTGTTGTATCTGTTCTGTGCCGCCCTGACGGAACACAAGATCCTGTTCCTGTCCAGCAGCTACCAGAGACTAACAGACGCCTGTCGAGGATTGCTGGCCATCATGTTCCCCCTCAAATACAGGTGTTATTCCAGTCCTCAGTCTCTCAGTGCTGTGTCTTTAGAGGTTTCTCTGGCTGTTCTCTTTTATTTTGATTTTATTTTTGACATATGTGTCTAATATCTTAATGGGTAAAGCATGATTGATATCATTGAAATCTCTTCCTGTTTGTCCCTTTCAGCTTCACCTACGTTCCCATCCTGCCGGGGAAATTACTAGAGGTCCTGAGCACCCCCACCCCCTTCATCATCGGTGTCAATTCATTCTTTCGCTCGGAGACACAAGAATTGGTGGGTTCTCATCATTACAATGCGACAGACCAATGTAACAGTGCTACTGTGTATTTGGATAAGAACTCTCTGGTCATGAGGTCGTTGTCTCATGAGCCTTATTCAAGTCCCGGTGGCTTTAAGTTATATGGTCGAGATTTCGGGTGTATTTTTGTACTAGACAAGGACTGAGTTGTGTCACGTACATTAACATCATTTAGGAAGTTTTTTCCAGCCAGTAAGTACAGGAAAAATAATTACAGCAGCACTTGACATATACATATGGCATGTAAAACTTGTTTTAAGCCAGACTCAAAAGAATTTGAACCCATCCTTTAAATCTGTATGTGTGAACTGAGTATAAAAGTGATGACCACCAAAGTGGAGTGCCCCTACCACAGTACTCCACTAAAAGCAGTCTGGGCAATACTCCATGTGGCAGTACCCCTGCTTTGACACTACTTTTTAAGCCAGCATTTATCTTAGATCTTACCCTACCTTGTCCCTCATTTTCAATCGCCTCCGTCATTGTTACATGGGAGATTGTTGACAGTACGTCCTGAAAGAGAAAATGAAAATAGCTCTTGAACAGAAAGCAACCAGGGACCCACTCTGAAGCAGCAGAAAATGCACCACACAGCCAGCCTGACAAAATGCCAGCTACACACATCATTAAAAAACCTAGCATGCAGTGTTGGAAGCTGGAGCACATGTTGCAACTTTCCAGCTATGGGAGAGAAATGGGATATAATTAAAGCAGCTTAGTGTTAAAAGTTGAATATATTGTTCCTTAGTTTAATAAACGTGCCCCGAAAAAGGACCAGAGTGGGTTTCAAAATTAGACGGAGGATGTTATATACTTAGAAATGCCTGCAGCAGTTCTGACATGGACCAGAGTTGGAGAGTTAATTTCATGTAAACTCTCACTGACCCATTAAGCAATGGTTCATGTGTCTTTTAATAAACTGCCCCTCGTGCCATCTGTTACCTGCCTACCTTTGTAGATTATAATACAGTACTCTTTACAACACTTGCCAAGATAAATTGTACCAGTATACACGCTGTTAATTACTGTCTAGATCTCAAGATCAAAGAAAAAAATGTGCTGCTGTCTTATTAAAGTCTGATGAGTGTAATGAATGCTCCTGTTAGTCTGACCGTATGCTGCTGCTGCATGTCCCTTGCTGTGCCGCACTGATGGAGCCTTTGTCTCACATCACAACGAGACACTGTTTTGTACAGTAGTCACACGCCCATTATCAATGTATGAGCAGTCACCGGGGTCGGGGGTCAGAGGTTATTGTTTGGGCAGCCTTTCCTGCTGTCTGCAGTGAAACATGAATGTGTGTTTTGTTGTGTGATAGCTAGCGTCCTGTAATGAGCAGCTGTTGACTTCGTCTGCGTTTGTCTTTCAGTTGCTGTAATGGTCTTGTGTGTCCTGCTGCTGTGTTTTTATCAAAAGTCTCAGAAGCAGAGATGAACAGTGTGCTTATGTGTGTGTTTTCAGCTGGATGTGATCATCGCTGACCTGGACGGTGGCACAGTGACCATCCCGGAGTGTGTCCACATCTCCCTGCTGCCTGAACCGCTCCTCCAGCAGACCCAGACCGTGCTCTCCATGGTAACCACACCCATAATACACACTACTACTGAGTACTGGGAAATCATATTAACAACCAGTGTGTGGTTTCAACTGAGCAATAAATTCCCCTGTGGTGCTTTAATGGTTGGGATGCCAGGAAGCACTTCAAGGATTGTTTTTCTCCTGTTTCTTTGTGTTACTATTTTCAGGTTTAATTTTGGTTTTGTGTAGTTAACATTTACAGAATTTTTGTTTTTAGTGATTGCTTTTATTTTAGCTCAGACTGGTAAACTTTGAAATTTGGTGCAACTTTTGGATATTTGTAACCCAAATACTCTCTGTCTCTCAAAATGAAATTGGGTAACCATTAGGGGTTTGACGAGACACTTAAACCACGAGACGAGACAAGATTCATGAAATCGAGATGAGATTTTAACAGTATTTTTAAGAAATCTTTAATGCTAAACTATATGAAAATTTTTTTCTGCAGCATTTTATTGTGATCTGTTTTGTTTTTATTTATGAAAGGGAAACAGAAAATTCAGGTGGCAGGTGACATTTCACAATCTATTGTCTAACTATAACAGAATATAATGCAGAAAGGCTCTCAGTAGGGGTGTGATGAGATCCTGTGCTGCTTTCAGATCTGTTTCTCATCTAGATCATCTTTTCTCATGTAATATCATCCCTGCTGAGTCATTATTTAGAGGCTACTTCCTCAAACAAAGACGCAAAGAGGAGCTTTGTGTCTTGCGTCTTTGTTTGAGGAAGTAACCTCTCTAAATGTAATCGTGGCACCTTTTCACCTCAATGAGAAATTATTTCATTTAAATTCAGTTAGAAACTCCTGGATTTTAATAGCTCCTGTGTTTCAGCAGGTTTTCTGCTCATGTTCAAAACTTTCTGCACATTCAGAATCTCTCCCACATATCTGTGTTCTCTGACATGTCCCGGGAAAAAAAAGTCAGACATACATAGCAATATAAGTTACTTTGAAGGAAAAGCGGCAGCTAAATCGTTAAGTGTAAATGTAATATTGCAAAACTCAACCAGCTACGTTACCACTCGTCACAGGTGTCTGCGTGTTCAGTTGAATATTATCAGGGCATACGCCGGTGTCTCATCAGCTGGGCGGAGTTGATTCGCTCCGTGACTTTATCAGTTATCCATTTGTATTTCACTGTGTAAGAAAAGCAACGTGTGGCATGACAGCATGTGAAAAATGGCAATCGCGTGAGTCTCACAAGACAGCTTTTTACCTGATGAGAAATCTCGTCACACCCCTAGTAACTATAGATCAGCCAGTTTTAGCTGAAGCTTGGTGATATGATGCTGCCAACTCAATTCAATTCACTTGTATTTATATATCGCCAACTCATAACAGAAGTCACCTCATTGGACATATCAAGCACTTTACCACATTCCACAGCCGCAGCCCATTCTGGGAACTGCTTTTTATCTAAGTGTGTAAACAAATTATTTTCCAGCTTCCTTATTGTCGTATTGATGTCTGCAGAATGCATGCATTTCTTTCCTGCTTCTCTTTGTTTGCACCGTTTACTGTGTTTACATTGCATAACAAATGTGGGATGTGTTGATACTCACTTTATTGTGTGCATCAGGTGTTTATGATCCATTTACTGGATTGCAGTCACATGCAAAACATAATAAGGAACAGTGGGTTAACACAATATATTTTAGTACAGTGTATTGTCTGGATCTAAAATTTCATAAAATATTAACTCCCCTTAACTCCTTTTTTTTTATTTATTTTTTTAGGTTTTATTTGTTACTGAACTAAATAACAGTGGATATACTTTCGATTTCATGACACTGATTAGCAAGACTAGTCTACAGCCATGCTAGCAGCTCTGTGAGGTTGTACTTCAGCCAATAGTTGTTGAGATATTTTAGTCTAGAGCAAAGTGGTGGACTAACAAACCGATATCGCCATCCCTTCAAAAATTCCTCTAGCATGGCTAATAGCCAGTTTTTAATGTCAAATTTAAAACAAATTTCCACAAATGAATCTAAGAATCCTGACTGCAAGATGGCTCTGACTTTTATTTTCCAGCAAGGCAACAACCTCAGTGCAAAGCTGATAGCAGCAGCAGCAGCAGTGGATCAGGGCTGTATCGCAGCCTGTGTCTTATAAATATGAAGTTAAGGGGATGGGTGGATTTTTTCAATCATTTATTTAACTTTTATAGTCAGAGAATTTCAATGTTTGTGTTTTGACATTAGTCTTTTTCTGTTAATCATATTGTAAATCAGTACTGCAGGACTTTTACTTGTTAGAGTATTTTACATTTTTGTATTGTTACTTTTACTTAAGTGAAAGATCTGAATGCCTCCGAGTGCTGACTCTCTTCATCAGGCTCGTGAAAAGATACAAACATAACTGCTTAAAATAAGATAAAATGATTTCAGCGACAAACATTGTTAATGCATCTCTAGTTGAAATGGGTTGCTTCTAGTTATCTTGATTGCACTGGGGGAGTTGTGGGGAAATTCTCCTCATCCCGTCCTCGATCGCTGGTTTGTTTCGGGTAAAAGACCGGAGGTCAGTTTCCCCTCTGCCGGTTGCACGGGGTTGGAGTTTTTGGAGATGTGATGTCACTGAGGCAGAGGGTAGAATGTGTTTATTTTAGAGAGACTGGAGCTGACATTCACTTTTCTGTCTCCACTCTCACTCAGTTATGCCAAGTGTGTGTTTGGATGCTGTGAGGAGCCAAAAGTTTTGGAATCAAACATGCTCTTCCCACGGACAAGAAATGCATTGTCCTGTTTTTGTTGCTTAAACAAAATAGCAGCTGAAGATACAGTGTCTCTCTGCAGACGTCGAGGAAAAAAGCTAAAATAAACAATCCATTTGCTGTTGGATGATGTGCAGCATGATCTGCATAGAAGAACTGCACATTTTATTTTATAGCCCAATCAACTGTCTCAATACAACATGTCCTGCAGTTCCTGCAGATGGAATATTATCATAATGCATGGACAAATAATTAGAAGTTTTTATTTTGACTCATCTTGACAACATTACACATTCTCTTATTTATGCTAACCCGGACAAAGCAAAGTAATAGTGAGATTAAATCCCCACTTGTGGATAAATGTGTTCACATCCTCTCATTTTTTCTGTCTACCCACACTTAGCTAATGAAAATGGATACATTTAAAAATGTCCCGTATTGTGGTGAGGGAAAATTGAATAATGCTTTTTCACTATAAAATATACTGAGGCATTGAAGCTTGACTTTAGATTTCATCTGGGTGGTGAACTTCTAGAAAATAACATGAAAAACTAACTAGTGATGTAAGATTTTTCACACAACAAACAACAGTATGGACACGACCTCAGCTATGGCCATCACTGTGTCTGACTCTAATCCTCAAACCACAACAGTGTCTTTGTCATCAGTCGTCGTACCGTATCCACCATCTCACCTTCAGTCGTTCTTATCGGTCGATCTGAAAACCCTTCACTCGCAAATTAAATTAAAATGAGTAACTATTCCTCTCCCTGCGTCTGCTTCCATGCAGTCGCTTACTCTACCCGTTGCCCTCTTATCTCCTAACACACAGACACAATATCCAATCACAATACTTACTGCACTACCTTGTGACGTGATTCTTTTATCTTAATTATATCATTTTTATTGTTTTATTATCTTTAGTTTGTATCCATGCTCATGTCCTTTTAAAAAACAAGTCCATTTAAATACTTGCAAGGAAAAAAAACACAGACCCTTATTTGATTTAATTTTGTCCCATGGATCCTATAAGAAATGAGCTGTTTTCTTCCTACAAACAGCTGTGTGTCAGAGTGTCCTGCACCTTGACCCACTGACCGGGGCATCTGTTAAAGGCCTAAGATGACAAGGCTCAAAATAAATTGAAAACAAAAAAATAAAGTGGTTTTGTTGTGAAATGTAGGGATCCACCCACGTGTTTCTGTGTGTGGGACTGTTTCTGTCTCTGCTTGCTCTGTGTGCTCTATGGCTTCTAACCTGGAGACTCTTGTGTGTTGTGGTCCCTGCTCTGCATTGATGCAATGAGAGCTGGAAATGAGTCACAGACAAGTTCGCTGGGTTATGGGCCTGTGCCCTCAGCCAGCAGAGCTGCGTGTGTGTACACCAACACAGATTTATAAACCGCAGGATTGTAGCGCCGATTGAGCCAGTTTCAACCTGCTTCGTTTGTGGCGGATTTGCTTTAGTGGAGGACGAATGACCCAAACAGACCTCAAGGCCATTCATTCAGCTCACACAGGTGGACTGACCCCCCTTCACTGAAACAAGACACAAGGAGAGATAACTGCGAAGCTGGAAAACTGATCGGGGGATTTGTGTAGTGGGTCTGTAGTTTGTTGAATTGTCTGAAAATGTTCCCTGGCAAAGGTAGAAGCTGGTTTGGGTGAAAAGTTGTGGGAACGAGGCTGCTGTAGGTTGTTGGGCAGCTACTGTGAACCAGGACTTACTTACAGGTAGCTGAATGAATTTTAATGTAACTGCCTGAGACCAAAGGTTGTTTCCAATGTAGTATTTGTTGACTGGTCTCTGTATATGTTGCCGATGCTTCTGTGTTTTCACACTGTTTTTTAAACATGGAGTTTAAAAAACTTTGCTTTTCTTAAAGCTAGACAAACAACAACAAGCTTTGGTACTAAAAGTGACAGTATCTTATAAAAAGACACCGGTATTAATTTTAAAATTCATCACATTATGATTTAATCCTATCCAAGGCCATACCTGATACTGATACTCTTCTTTTGGAACGCTGTCACTAGAAATAACTAGATTTATCTCAGGCCTTACTCACGACTCAGTTACCCCACAAAACAAATTTCCACTGTGAACAAGCTACAGTACAACGGCTCTGAGAGTAGTTAGATGGTGATTGGTGATGGCGATTCATGTTTGTTGTTGCAGGTTTTGGATCCAGAGCTTGAAGTCGCTGATCATGCCTTTCCCCCACTCTCCACGCAACCCTCCGCACCAAAGATCCAGGTAGGAAAAACACAGCTTCGTTATGAAAAAAGGCAGGAAGCCAGTCTGAAATTTATATTGAGGCTTTAATAAAGTAAAGTCTCTTCACTATATTTCTTGTGGAAAAATTAACCAAAGAAAAAATTAGCTCTAGTTGTCTTTGTACAGCACTTTTCAAAAATGTAGCCAATAAAGTCAGCACAATGACACATTCTGGGCAAAACTTTTCAATAGACAGCATAATGAATCACTGCAATCCAAGATGTCACCAGAATAAACCATTGGCACAGCCAACTTTCTCATACCCTCAACCAAAAATGTAGTCTGAAATGTGTAGATTTAGTCCATATTCTGTACGTTCTTTCTGATCTGATAGGCCTAATTCATTCCTATTGGCATGAAAAGTGTGTTGAAAGGTCAAAAGTGGAACTGGATTCAATCTGTGGTCCAGGAGTCTTTTAGGTTTTCCAGAATCTGTGTCCAGTTCAGTTTTATTTATTATTCCTTCAGTTTAGGTGTGTGTGTGTGTGTGTGTGTGTGTTGGCTTTAATTTGACTGTTGTGTGTGTTTCAGGATAAGGAGATCCGGGGAGTCTTCCTGTGGCTGTTCGCTCGGCTTTTCCAGGGCTATCGCTGGTGTTTACACATCATCCGCATTCATCCAGAACCAGTTATCCGCTTCCATAAGGTCTGTAAAGAGTACTGCACATGATAACAACTCAGACCAGTCACCCAGCTGCTCGTGTGTTCAAAGAGAGGCAGGCGGCGTGCGTGTGCCGAGTTTCCTGATCGAGAACGGCATCAGATTAGTGTCACATGTGTTTCCACAGGCTGCCTTCCTGGGTCAGAGGGCGCTGACAGAGGACGACTTCCTCATGAAGGTGTTGGATGGCATGGCGTTTGCAGGCTTCGTGTCCGAGAGAGGGCCTCCTTACAGAGCCACTGACCTGTTTGATGACGTGAGTCCGTCAGCATGTTGTGCACTGCTAGACTGTTTTTTTCGATTGTGTTTAGATTAGAGAGATTAGAATGATTAAGACAGAGAAGGGAAATCTTTTTTGATTTGTCAACACAGGAGTCTCTTTTACTCTGCCAGATTTTATTTCTAAAGGGCAGAAGAACTTGGAGACAATGATTGGCTACCTGTCACACTAGACAGAATAACAGACAATTTACAAACCGTGGCAGTGTCCAAAATCACTCCTTATTTACTATGTAGTGCACTACAGTTACTGTTTTGGTTGAGTGTCCATTGTGTGCTCTATGCAGTGCCCTCAAAAATTCCCCCAATGGAACTGCTAACAAACCCCCAACAACTCCCATTTTGTAGGTGCAAAAGTTACAGTCAAACCACATGACACCTGTGATGACTCAGAATCATGATGATTCATAAGTGTCCAAAATTGCGGTAAGATTCTGGAGAAATCAACACCATACCATGATATAGAGCAAACAACGACACAGCAATTAATGTTACTAACTTTAGCTAAATTATGGGTTAGCAAACTGTGGCTGCTTTGAAGCTAACATGCAGGGAGGACGAGACTGTTTAAGAGCCAGCACACCAGCTCCAGACAGCGATACTCACAACTCTCCTGCTGCTATAGCTAACAGCATGTCTTGAGAAAGTTTAAAAAGAATGGATCATCGCTTATCTGCCCCCGTCTGAAGGTCTGATTCCCCAATGAAACTTCTTTGTCCTGTTTCCACAGCTGGTAGCCAATCAAGTGGAGCGGATACGACAAGAGGAGACCTGTCCACACAAAGTCATGAACCACGTCAAGGAGCTGGCTGAGCAGCTCTTCAAAAATGTATGCTCTCTAATGAAACTGATGGCACTTCTCGGGAAGATCTATTACTTACCCCTTATTCTGCGCTTTGTTCCCACCTTATTACCGCTCTGTCGTTCCCTCCCTCTAGGAGAATCCTTACCCCGCTGTGGCAATGCACAAAGTCCAGCGACCGTCAGAAAACAGCCAAAACACTGCACACAATCAGACGCTCTTCCCTGGGCTGGACGACATTGCGGTAGAGCTCTTCATCGACCACGCTGCCGCCAAGCTCAAGACTGCGCCTCCTGTGGTCAAGGCGGAGCTCAAGAGCATGGTGCCATCTGGGCCCCCACTGGGTGAGCTGGGGAGAGAGCTGTGTTGTTGAAAGAAGCATGGAGTGTAAAGCAGAACATGTGTAGAGTGATGTTTTAAAAGATGCCCAAAAAATGGCATTGGTTTGACAGAAGAAGGTTAACAATTAACAAAAGCTAAAGGTAGCAGGAGTTCAGTTTGATGGTTGCATTTGCAAACAATGTAACACCAACCTCAACATCTCTACTCAAGACTTCCTTTGTGATCTGGTCACTCAGCCGGTCTCACAGTGTGGGTTTAATGGGGGGGGTGAATGAGTGTCTGATCTCTTCTCCCATGTCTCCACAGGAGATGTCGTGGACAGGAATGGCAACGTGATGGCTAACAGCGCCCGCAGGCTGGAGGTGGTCAGGAACTGTATCACATACATCTTTGAGAATAAGATGCTGGAGGCCAAGAAGGTAAGAGCGACTCACCTCTGCATGACCAGACTGACTGGACCGCTGAGGAGAGTTTTCTGCAGTGTGGTGAACTCTATCACAAACACTGCATACCTATTTAGCTGTACTGTAACTAAACACGCATTCATCTCCTGTGTCCAGTTAATGCCAGCTGTACTGCGGGCTTTGAAGGGTCGGGCAGCCCGGATTTGTTTGACCCAAGAGCTCAATCAGCACGTCCTACAGAACCGAGCTGTGCTGGATGACCAGCAGTTTGACTACATTGTCCGAATGATGAACTGCACCTTACAGGTGAGCCTGCAAATATTAGGATATAACTAGAATCAACGGTATAGCAATAAAACAGCATCACAATTAGATCTACTACTTCATTAAATTGCCATGGAGAATTTAAGCATGGCAGGAAAACAGAGAGATGTTGTCAGGTGACGATATGTCTGTATAAAAAATCATAGCAATCCACTATTTTAATGATAGAGCAAAAAAGTTAATTCATGCAGTGTGTGACGTAAACGTCTGAACCAAATTTCATGACGAGCCAACAGTCAAAACCAAAAATGATGACCTTCTGGTGGCGCTAGATTAACAGTCAGGGTTTCAGCAAAGGATTCATCCTCTGGGAACCATGAATGTCTTTCAGAGCAATCCATCAGGTAGTTGTTGAGAGATTTCAGTCTGGGCCAGAGTCACACCGCTTGCGTGGCAAAAAAAAACCTATTGAAAATGACTGACTTAATTTTTGACTGCAAAAAAGGATCACTTCTGTCATTTCAGTGAGACTTTAATGATGCTAAAGGAGAAGTCATTTAGAACATCTGTTTATGGTTTGCAAGATGTCACATCGTTCATCTGTTGTTTTTTTTTTTTTCAGGACTGCTCACATATAGATGAGCACGGTATTGCAGCTGCCCTCCTTCCGCTTGTGACAGCCTTCTGCAGAGTAAGTTCATAACCAGCATCGATAAAGTCATCCCACACACCCAAATTCAGCTTTAACCACAGCTTAAAATCTATTCAAGTAAATAAGAATCCACTTTCCATGGTTTTACAATTCAGAATGAGGAAAATTTGAGGTTGGTCTTTGTCTGAACATGTGTACTCCAATTCTGAATGTTCAGACATTTTAAAATGACTTGTCTCTCTAGTAAATGTCTCTCCCTGTGTTTGTCTGACAGAAACTGGGCGCAGGAATCACTCAGTTTGCCTACAGCTGTGTACAGGAGCACATGGTGTGGACCACAATGCAGTTCTGGGAGGCCATGTTCTACAGCGATGTCCAGAACCACATCAGAGCTCTGTACCTGGAGACAGAGGACGGACAGCAGCAGAAAAACTCTGTGAGCACCTACGTTAGACTCGATATGTTATTAGAGTTGACAAAGAAATGAGGAATCATAGACTTGCACATTGTAAAATGAGTCTTTGGATAAAATCTACCAGCAGTTGTGTTAGACTAATGAGTCAGTCTGCCTACCTGCTGAGATGATTAATCATTAATTAACCTCTTTTGATTTGTTCCCAGGAGCAGCAGGACGGGTCAGGCAGTGGGAGGGAAATCAGCGCCCTGGATCTGGCGTCAGAACAGAACCGGCTGTGGCCGACGCTCAGCAAGGAAATGCAGGCGGAGCGCGTGCAGAAGGAGGAGAGCACGGTGTTCAGCCAGGCCATCCACTACGCCAACAGGATGAGCTACCTGCTGCTGCCGCTGGACACCAGCAAAAACCGCCTGCTGAGGACCACTGGCCTCGGAGACGTGGAGAGCGTCAGCAACAGCTACGTCACAAACAGGTACCAACAGCTGTCAGCCTTCATAGGAAAAAAAGTCACCTAGACCTCTGAAGGACAAGTGTGTGTCAGAGTTCACCTTCTGTCAAGGGCTGGGCAATATAGCCATAATCACTATAATATTATTATTCAGTCAGTCAAAATATGGCAAATGTTTGCAAAATCACTTGCTAACAGTACAAAAGATAAAGAAAATGAAATAAATGAAATAAAATCTGATGGATAGATAAATACAAAATATAATAGAAAAATAAAAACAGGAGGTATTTATACACTATACACCTTTTATGTGTTTGATATGGAACATTGCACAGGTCGCAGCAGGAGGTAGTTGCATGGTGTAGAAATAAATATTCACAGGACAAACATATATACAGCAGTTTGTTATTGTGGAATCATATTGATGTTCAAACTATCTCTAGCAGGAAAGTAAACTTTATTTCTGAACTAATTAGTTCTTTCAAAATAGTAAAAATGTAGTACAGTTTTCTAAAAACTGCTATCATTTTATGATCTGCTTTCAGAAATCTGTTATATAGTGATATAATTTCATCTAATTAAAATTTTTCATTGAAGATAGAAATAAAGTCAAATAAAACAAAACACAAAAAGATGGAAAGCTATTAAATGCAAAAAAAAACCTTTTATTTGAGCAGTTAATGCACACAATGTAGGGCCAAAGAGACATTTTGCCTTTAGAGGCGGACAGTAGAGAGGTGACAGGAAATGAGCAGGGAGAGCAAGAGCCAGTCATCAAGACGGGGACGTTGTGGTCACAATATATGGTGCTGACATTTTTCTCTAGAACTAAGGAGGTTAGGAGGAAGTGATGTCATTCGCAGCCAGATGCAGTGATGCTGTCATTGCAAATCAATAGTGGCATGCTTGCACTGCTGGTAAAGGAAACATACTGAACACATAATAGGTCGGAGGAAGCCTACTGATCGAATGCAGCCAATATATGTGTTGTCAGTTCAAACATGACAACTTAAACTTCTCACTCAGCCTATAAGGAGAAACTGTCCTTGTAAAGGGAGGCAGGAGTGTGTGACGGTTTCATACAGAACGTTATCGAACATATATACTTCATCAACAAAGACACTAGGCTCAGATATTCAGTTGTGCTTTGGTGTGTGCTGTAGCTGGTTGGTTGAAGTGGAGACAAAGAAACGTCGATGTGTCTTGCAGTATTGCTGGCAGCATGGCGGAGAGCTACGACACAGAGAGCGGCTTCGAAGATGCTGAGAGCTCAGACGTGGCTAACTCTGTGGTGCGCTTTATAAACCGCTTCGTCGACAAAGTGTGTAACGAGAGCGGTGTGACCAACGAGCACCTTAAGGCTCTCCACACCATGATACCAGGTACGGAGGCACCAGGATCTCTTTGTACCTCGTCAGACTTAATAATTCAAAGTGTCATCTCCGTCCTGCATCTTTATCCATCTGTCCCTTTTCTTTCCAGATATCGTTCAGATGCACATTGAGACGTTGGATGCAGTCCACAGGGAGAGTAAGAGACTGCCTCCGATCCAAAAGGTAACCAATTCCTATTTTTACGTCCCACTGGACAAAGGCCATGCAGAACCCCAGCCAGCCTGCCCACTCCCCTCCACCAATCCCTACAGCTCAGACTCACAGTGTCATAGCAGGTACGTCTGTCCACCAGAGACAGAACTGTCTCTGTCACTGTCCGACACGCCTGAGCTGTGCATGCTGGGTGATTGCTCTCCCCTTGTTGTTTCGTGTGGTCTCTGAGGCCCGGTGGAGGCTCAGCCTGGCTGCTGTAGCTCCCTGAGGACCTGCAGAGCTGAGTGCCTTCAGTCTGAAGGGTGCAGTTAGTCCTGCGTGCAGTGTGTTGGAGAGGGACGGTGGCTACGCTGAGTTTGACGTGACATGTTTTGTCATTCCACTAAAGACTTGTGAGTGGAACGTGGAACTGCTCAGCCCCCCCCTCCTCGGCAGTGTTTTTCCACATGGCAGCAGGCTTCTCTCCATAGTCTCCCTGCCCCTGCTCTCACAATGTCCTCCTGTCATCGTTTTCTTTTGTAGCAGGATCAGTTCAACTAGTGAAGATGAGATGGTGGGCTGTGTGCAGTTCATGACTAATGGGGTCTCAGCAGTTAAATGCCTACAGAGGAAACTCTGCCCCCCGCTGCTCTTTTTCCTGTGTGACTGCAGCTGGAATGTGGACGTGTGTGGTATTAGGTGTTGTGCAACAGATTACGACACATGAACAGGTTACCAAAGTTGCAATCCATATCCTGTCAGAGGTGGAGTTCCTTAGGAAGCTCTGCAGGCCTCACTAAAGGAACAGGAAGTGACATAAGGGGCCAGAGGACAAAGCCAGCTTCATATTATACTGTTGGTATTCAGAGAAGCTCAGCAGCCCACAGAGGCCTCTTAGTCCAAAAACGAAAGTCGAGCTTTGGATAAGAAATATGAAAACACATCCAAATTAATATTATTAGATATTTTTATCTGTGTATTTTATCTTTTTGTTTGTAACATCACTGCCAAGATCCCACCAGTCCAGATCAACTGATGCGTGTTACACAGTAATAGAATCATTTCCACATTAGCCTCTGTGGTATTTTGGTCTAAACCTCCCAAACAGTGCGCCACGCCAGTAACCTCCGCATGGTTGTGAAAGCATGAGAGTATAACGAGTGGAGTGGTAGTTTGGTCTTGAAATACGCACATGCTGTAGGCCATTTCATAGAGGAATAATGCTAACCATTATTGTCTGCAGCACTATCCGCATTGTTTTAGTGCAGAATTGTGCAGCATTTTCATCCTGCTGGACTGAGGTGGTTTGGAGGGTTTTTAAAGTCAGGCGAATGTCACAGTTGAGTTTTACAAATTGTTGTTTTTCAGTTTCATTGCTTCATTGAAACCAGACTGTTAGTATGAAAATATTTGGATAAAAGACATATAAAATATAAAAAAGTAGATGTGTTCATTCTCTCTGGTTTTCAGACATACCTCGGCACTGCCATCCAACTTTTTTGCATGAAATTGAAAGAAAACAGCCTGGAATTTTGAAATTGTGCAGGAACTCTGTCACAGAAAATCCCCGGTATTCATTGATCCTCCTCTCTTTCTGTCTCTGCGCAGCCCAAGCTACTGAGGCCGACATTGTTGCCCGGCGAGGAGCTGGTGATGGATGGCATGCGGGTCCACCTGATCCCTGACGGCCGTGAGGAGGCCACGGGGCTGATGGGAGGTCCGCCTCTGCTCCCTGCTGAGGGCGCCATCTTCCTCACCACCTACCGGCTCATCTTCAAGGGCACGCCCACGGACCCACTGGGTGAGAGATGATACGCGCACACACACACACACACGTCTCGAAGGCTTAAGCTTCTCCCTGTTTCCAGGAGAGTTCTGTGGATCCTCTAAACCCTGCTCTTTGTCTGGGTGTCTTCCTCCTGCAGTGGGTGAGCAGGTGGTGACTCGCTCGTTCCCCATCGCCTCTCTGACGAAGGAGAAGAGGATCTCAGTCACTGTACCCATGGACCAGTTTGTCCAGGAAGGGCTACAGCTACGGTCCTGCACCTTCCAGGTTACTCTTACATCCTCAACTCCTATCACAAATATTTAGCCCCACCTACTCTTCGTCTCGGCTTGCTGTCCTTTCCTCTGATTTCTCCGCTTCTCTGTGTGTTTGCAGCTGATGAAGATTGCCTTTGACGAGGAGGTTGCATCCGACCTGGCTGAGGTTTTCAGGAAGCATATGCACAAGCTGCGCTATCCTCAGCACGTCCAGGGCACCTTCGCCTTCACTGTGGGTCAGTGTGGGAAGATGGTGGTGGAGCATAAGACCAAGGACAAGAACCAGTCGCTCAAGTAAGGAACCATTTATTTAGGAAGAATACGTTTGTCAGTGTACAAAATGTTTTTCTGCAAGAGAAACCGCAGTTCTCCATAGATCTGGTTGGAAGACTAGAAAGGCTCTATCAAGTACAGACCATTTACCAATTTACCATCACAGTATTTAGTAAAACTGGTATACCAACACACATAACCAAGAGTGGCTCTGTGGTTGCCAGCTCAAAGGTCAACTGTGCTTTAGCTGGATAAGCAGAGAAAAAAACTAGCAAGGCCAATTTAAAGGCTTATTACATACCAAGCGTCTGTTCAAAACATGTTTTTACTTTGTTGGGGAAATAAGTACTACTCACTGCGACAAGTCAGACTGCATTACATTGTTCACCTACCTGCTTGCAGCAATTCTAGGCTCAATAAAGTATGTAACATTGAGCAAAGTAATTCTTTAAGTACAAACTAGAGTGCAAACAAATGCTACATGTGAACAAAACTTGGTTTCCCTGTGGGATGATAAACATGTGTACCTGCTGGAGTGACTGCACCCTAAGAAATATCATCAGGAGATGCCTTTATTCTGAAGTGTTGCAATGTTAGTGATTCATGTGCATGTATAGTCACCTCTGCCTCTCTGCAGAGTGGAAGAGCAGTTTTTAAGATTGCTGTAATCTTCCTCTGCTTTTTCCCTTTTGTTTTTTCTTACCATTTGGGTCAAAGTGACCTTTGTTTCTGTTTGGTAAATGCCCTGCTGTAGCCACAATGCGAGTTCAGTTTTGTTATCTCCGACATGTTAGTTCCCTGGGTGTGTTCTTTTTAACTTGTCTCTTTAAGTCTTTAAAGTCTCTGCAACCAACACACTTAACACCTACACTGTTCTCCCCTTTTTTCTGGCGAAAGAAAGGAGCACGAGAGAAGCCTTTGAATAATTCATCAGTGGAAAATGTGGCAGCCGTTTTATCAGCCCCGTTGTTTCCATCTCCCACCTCCAAAAATCCTCCATTCAGACATGTTAGTTCGAACTGTGGCCGTGCGGCATGCTGAACCAGCCACACCAGTGAATTCATGAGTTACAGTTATGCACTGAGACGAACATTCAGTCAAATCCGCTCATTCTCAGCTGCTCCAAATCTAAATGCACATTTGTGTTCTAAAAGACCCAACAGGAAGTGGATGTCAAGTGGACTCTAAATGGAATGTGCTATAGAATCAGCCCAGTGATGTATTTTAAAAATGTTCTTTCTACCTCCGTGCCTTTGTCAGGACACTTTCCAAAAACCTGGTGAAGAGTGCCAAGAGGACCATCGGCCGGCAGTATGTGACCAGGAAGAAATATTCTCCCCCCACCTGGGAGAACAGGAGCAGCTTCCAGTCAGAGCTAGATGAGGACGAAATCTCAGGTATTTGCAGTTGAATGTTCTTTGTAGGCCTCCTCAGATTTTACCTTTGTTCTATATTCTCTACTTACAGTGTTTAATGTATGCCTTCCTGCAAAAGCAAGCAGCTCTTCCAAGCACAAAGAGTAAAAAAGAGGCATCGCGGCCTAACATTAGCTAAGCTGCGAAAATCAGGCTAACATTAGTGCTACACTGAGTGACAAGCTAACGTCGCTAACGGTCATGCAAGACAATGAGGTGATTATAAAAAAGATCAAAAACACTACGTACAAAAACAGATGATAAATACTATTAACAACATGTTCAAAGCTTACTGTGAACATATTAAGAGTGAACAGTAACGTTACTGTTGAAAGGAAGTAAACAGACGTGCAGTTCGTAAAAGGGAAATGCACCACATTGTGCAAGTACAGAATTGCGCGCAATGTTCAAACGAAGAGTAGGTGACATCATCACACTCCAGGAGAGGCATTCAGCTGTCTCATTAACTTTTACTTTAAATGACATTTCATGAGCCTTCAGCACTTACGCTGACACTTCAATTGCTTTCATCTCTTACTGTGAAATTTTATCAGCTTTCATCTCTTACACTTTTAATGAAGAACTTTCACTGCCTTCATGTATTATTGTTGAACTGAGAGTTATTTGCATTAAACATCAGAAACTCGTGTCACTGTGTCGTGAGTCATTCTACACACAATTTACATTCCATTAAGGTTGCCAGCTCATCATGTCATAGCATTAGTTTTGGAAATAACACTCCTTGTTTTTGAAATGTGAACTGTGCAGCACGTTCTCCTGTGTGCCTCCACAGTTTCAGAGGAAGTGGACCAGAGCGCCCTCACCCTGTCCTCCACCATCCGCTCATCTGACAGGCAGACCATGAGCAACGTTGTGGAGCGTGCTTGTTGCCGTGACTACCAGCGCCTGGGTCTGGGCACGCTCAGTAACAGCCTGACACGGTCAAAGAACGAGCCTTTCAGGATTTCGACTGCCAACCGCATGTACAATGTCTGCAGGAGGTGAGACCACCGCAAGACAACACACCGGGATGAGGGGAGAGCCGTTGGACATTATATGGACAGTAGCTCTTCAGTGTGTGTGTTTGTGTGTTTCATAGCTACCCCGGCCTGCTGATTGTGCCTCAGAGCATCCCAGACACAACCATCCAGAGAATCTGCCGCTGCTACCGACAGAATCGCTTCCCCGTGGTTTGCTGGAGGAATTCACGAACCAAGGCCGTCCTGCTGCGATCAGCAGGCCTCCATGCAAAGGGAGTGGTGGGCTTCTTCAAGTCTCCTAACGCCCCTGCTGCAGGTAAAAAACAAGGTATTTGAGGCATCTAATTAATTTATAGAAGGTTGAAGTTTTATTTTACCAGGTAATGTTGCTGGTTATTTTCCAGAAATGTCCTGCATCATACATTTGTCCACCAATTTTATTTTAGCTGCCTAGAGGTCATGTTACTCTGACCCCAATGATATGAAAGATGCAAGAGATACAAGCATGTGGAGAGCGTATCTTTATTTTGCTCTTGTCAAAGAACACAGAGGAAGAACTGCTATATTGTGCAGCTCATATGTAATAAAAAAATTGCCTATAACAAAAAAAAACCCTCATTGCTTCCCTGAAACATACAGACTTGTTAATGTGTTTTTCTTTTCTGTGCAGTGCCCTCCCAGGCAGACTCCACCAGCCTGGAGCAGGAGAAATACCTGCACGCCATCATCAGCTCCATGCCTTCTTACAGTGAGAACAGCGGCAGGAACACGCTCAGCGGCTTCACCTCCACACATATGAGCACCTCTGGTGGGTGGACTAACACATGTTATATGTGACATGTTACTGTGAGAAGACCCTCACTGATCTCTGGGACTGTGGGGTCACAGAGCTGATGGTTCCGTCTTTCCACAGACTCCTCCGATAAGCTGAGGCAGCCCAAGATTGGCGCGCTGATGAAGCAGGTGATGGGCACCAAGGAAGATGTTCCTGGAACCTTCAGCAGAGGAGGTGAGACACCTGTCTGTCCCCATGTAGATCCTGTGGTTTCCTGTTGACTTCAGTTAGTCTGTTGCAGTCCTGGTTTCAAAACGAAATGTGTAAACTGTGTTTCAAGTCTTAAATCTGGTACTGAAACTGGGACTGGACCAAGAGGATGATGAATGAGTTAATGCATCTCTAATAGCTCATGCTTTGGATGTGTGTGTGTGTGTGTGTGACTGTGTGTGTGTGTTAAAATCATCCTCCATTGTGTGGTGGTGTTTAATGAGCCGTCTCTGTCGTTTGGCCTCAGCTCTGGGTCAAAGGGCGAAAGTCATCTCCCTCTCACAGCCCAAAGTGTCTGGCAAGGCCAGGAACCCTACTAGAGGTACAGTAGGTTACACCCCCCCTCCTTCCTGTCTAACCAATCAGATCTCTTTAACAGTAGCGTCCGTGTGTGCCGTGGTTCCTGATAGCGTGACTAATGGTCTGTTGTTATTGCCTGTGTTTCTCGGAGAGCTGCTGTGTGTGCATGCTGCTGCAGCTCTGCTGTCTGACGTCCTGTTCGTTGTTTGCTGTTTGATTCATTTCTCTGTTGAATGTCAGCAGCAATCAGTCAACTCCGTTTCATTATGATGTAGCAAACTGGACGGGGTAGTTTTCAGTCACTTCTGCCTGATTTACCAGCATGGCTATTAGTAGCTGTGGGCACTGTACACATCAGTGTGTTTTTAAAGGATCATTCAGTTTATAAAAACTTTGCTTGTAATAAACCAGAATTATCCTTTAATGGTTGTTTAACATTGAAAGGACTTCCACTTGAGGTTTGATGGTTCAGCTTTCATGTCCTGATTCCTTTGAAGACTCTACTTTGTCTGTGTATGTTTGTTTATTGCAGGTAAATGGGGCAGTATCCGGGGCAGCGGGCGTCTAAGTGCCTACAACCCTGACGTGGGGACACGTCTGGCAGGGAAGGAGTCTCCACAAGCCAACGGAGGGCCGAGCGAGGCGCTTTTTCTCCGCCAGCAGAAGGCCTACCTCTACATCATCGGAGACAAGGCCCAGCTCAAGGTAACCAGTGACACACGAATAAATGTGATGTGTTAACTGTGATTAAGGGCTAGAAAAAGAAATAAAAGTTTGTTGTAGAAAAAGGTAAAGTTGAAGGAAGTGTATTAATCTGCTTTGAAATGACGTGGTTCTGGTCGGGAGTTACCAGTATTAACTGTTGTTTTTAGGGAGGGAAGCAAGACTCGTTCCAGCAGTGGGAAGTGGTTCCCATCGAGGTGTGTGACGTGCGGCAAGTGAAGAACAGCTTCAAGAAGCTGATGAAGGCCTGCGTGCCAAGCTCCCCGACTACTGACCCCAACATGACCTTCCTGCGCTGCCTTGAGGACTCGGAGTGGATGGCTCTGGTTAGTGCTCTCTGCTTTTCTATCATTGTCTGCATGTGTGTGTTCATTTTGACCTTTGGTGGTATTTTACTCACCCTGTGTGTGTATTTGTGTGCGTCCAGCTGCACAGAGTGCTGCAGGTGTCTGTCCTGGTGGTGGAGCTTCTGGATGCGGGCTCTTCGGTCATGGTCAGCCTGGAGGACGGCTGGGACGTCACCACTCAGGTTTGACCGACACCCAGAAACTGTTAACGTTACAGCTGTGTTCTCTGAGCAAAGCTTAGACGTGCTGTGTGTGCAGGTGGTGTCCCTGGTGCAGCTGCTGTCTGATCCATACTACCGAACCTTTGACGGCTTCCGGCTGCTGGTGGAGAAGGAGTGGCTGTCATTCGGCCACAGATTCAGCCACCGCGGAGCACAGACGCTGGGCAGCCAGAGCAGCGGCTTCACCCCGGTCTTCCTGCAGTTCCTTGACTGTGTACACCAGGTGGGTCTGCAGCGCCGCATGTGAGGTTTGCTGTTGTTTTAAAGCGGGATAGTCACTGTGATTCTGTAGAGAACCTAAAAGGGAGGTCTGAGGTCAAAAGAAGGATGTTAAAACGATGCTATCTGAGTAAGACATAAAATTTTAACCTAAGCTCCCAAAAATTTTCTGCTGGACATCCTTAGTGCTTTCATTGCTGCCATGCAAATGATGTGTTTTTGAACAGCTGGCTATTTCCTATTTCCTGTTGTGCTGATCAGTGACGTGGTTTCTGCCTTCTTATCACATGCAGGAAGTGTTTCATTTAGCTTCAGTCCCCCCGCGAAAATTCTGCTGTCTGACACATCAGAGCTCTGATTATAGACGCTCTGTGCTGTATGAAAACACCACAAGGTGTACCAGAAAGCACACGCTAACAATAAGTTGTATATTAGTACCGGTCGCCAGTATACGTTGATTGCAGTTCTTATAGAAATCTTTGAAGTAATAGAGATGCAAAGTGACCAACAGTAAATGATTGTGTAAAGTCTGACCGTTAGTAGTGTTGCACTGCAAGTTCACTAAATTCAGAGACTGAAATCGGATTGTTTCCTTGCCACCAGCATGCTCTTATTAAGGAATTATAATATTAGTTGAATATAAAATACATCCCTTATACTTCCCAGTGTGTTAATTGTAGGTGTAATCAAACTTGCAGGAAGTCTCCATCTTAAGGCCATCTCATGTAGCCATGGAGGCCCGTAAGGGTCTGGGTAAATGTCGTCATCTGCCCAAAGCTGAGCTGCTGGTGATCGTTGGAGCATGTACGCTATTGTCTAGCCTACTATGCCATGTGTGTAATATGCAGTTAGCCAGCTTAGACAAATCTTGCTGCGTTGAAACGTTCAGTAACGGTGGCCAGTAGAATAATGACTAGATAGGAAATAAGCGCCTTCTTCCATATATTTGTGCTAGAGGACCAGATGACACTTGTTGGCATGGATGCACACACAGCTTCATCCTGTTGGCTGATCATCAGGACTAAACCCAAAATATACCATAACAGCAGAGGCATTTTTCTTGTTTACTAGTGTAAAGTTGTCCCACCGCTCGCACTCGCCATCTTTCTCAGCTCAGCTGCCTGTTCCACCAGTAGAGGCTGGCCTCTGGTGGCGAGTACTGTGCACTACAAGATACAGCGCCTCCGTGTCAGTTTAATAGAAAGTCGAGTGTTTTCTGGACAGTATTTTAAATCGTGCCATCAGGATTTCTAAATATCCAGGTATACCGTAACACCTTGCTGCCGGCTAAGCCTAGCAGACACCCTATGTAGTATAAACAGAAGCATGTCAGCATCCCTGCGTGGACCATGTGCCCCTGGAAACTGTAACCCTGACCTATGTTTCTCTGTCCCTCCGCCCTCAGATCCACCTCCAGTTCCCCATGGAGTTTGAGTTCAGTCAGTACTACCTGAAGTTCTTGGCCTATCACTACGTGTCCAACCGCTTCCGCACCTTCCTGCTCGACTCTGACTATGAACGCATAGAGCTGGGTAAGAACATTTCTGAGTCCACAGAGTGCCGCTCTGAAAATGCTTTAGTTTTATTCTGAGGACCTGTACCACTGCTCCATCATCAGAGACACAGAGTCCTAGTCCCAGATACAGCGTCTGTGTTCCTCTGTGTGTGTGCAGGAGTGCTGTATGAGGAGAAAGGCGAGAGGAAAAGTCCGCAGGTGTGTAAGTCTGTGTGGGACTACATTGACAGACTCAACAAGAAAACACCCGTCTTCTACAACTACATGTTCTCTCCTGAAGACGAGGAGGTGAGACTGCTGCACACCAACTGGCGGATATAATGATACTGACCAGTTACAGTCAGTGATAGTATAGACAAACTTTGCTCCTACTGATAAGTTCGTTGGTCAGTTTAAAGTAAGTATTTGTGTGTTCCAGGTGCTACGGCCATACACCTTCATCTCCAACCTGAAGGTATGGGACTTCTACATGGAGGAGACTCTGTCAGAGGGGCCCTCCTATGACTGGGAGCTGAGGGGCCGTCAGGAGCGCGTGGTGGAGGAGACGCCAGAGAAACCCGACTCCAGCGGCCCTAAATCGCAGCGGTGCATCGTGTGGCCGTGCTACGACAACCTGAGCAAGGTGGTGCCCGACGCCATCACCAAGCTGCTGCAGGACCTGCAGAGTCTGGAGGCCGAGCTCGGCCAGACGTCAGAAAAGTGGAAGGACACGTGGGATAAAATCAAGAACACGCAGAGAACCGAGGTCAAACTGGAAAGCAAGGTGGGACCAAGTGTTGCGTTCATGTGCAGCCTTTTGGAATTTTGAAATTCCTAGTTAGCAGATAAGCTTGTGAAGGCAACACTATTTTGCAAACAGCACTTAAGTCTAACACAAAGATGTGATCTACCTGTTCACAGTAATCAGTGTGTCTCTGTCACCATGAAACCAAAATGTCACCAGACTGAACAACTAGACTGACAGGCTGTTTTAAATGAAATATGTCACATTGCATGAACATGACTAGATTATGGTGACATTTTGACCTGATTGTGAAGTAGACTATAATCTGCGTCCTCTGGTTCACTGATTTAGGGGCTTTCACACCTACCTCGTTTGGTCCGGATTTTCAGACTTTTCAGTTTGGTACGAACCAAAATTGCAGGTGTGAAACCTCCCACGGACGAAAAGAGGTAGTCTCGGTCCGGATCAAACTGAACCATGGTTCGGTTCGTTTCTGGCATGAAAGCATTTTTTGGATGGTTTGGACTTTCAGACTATTTACAGGAAGTTTGGCGGTTGACGTGTAAACCGGAAACAAGCAAATGCACGGAGAAATGCATTGAAATAAGGACACGATTATAAATCTCCCGTGACGGCTCATCTTTTCAAACAGACGGCCACTATAGAAGCACACTGCCACATACATCTTGGCTTTTGAAACGGAGGTGCAGAGGGATCGCTTGCTGTCTTCTACTCCTTTCCTGTTTGCACAATGAGGACGTTTAATTGCGAATTTGAACTAGCGTGGTGCTGCAGGTAGTAATGCCATAATGATAATATAGTGGCAAATGTGCATATGTTCATTTTTTATTCATTAATTCTCGTCAAAGCTCCCCGCTGAACTGTTTAATAAACCAATCAATGTCAAGGATAGGGAGGACGACAAGGCGCAAGTGTGTCATGTAAAGTCCTTTAGTGCGGTCGCAGAATTGCAGTGTGAAACCAAACCAAAACTAACCGAATGTATCAAAACATGAACCTTGGTGCGGACTTTCAGGTTTGAAAGGCCCCTTAAACTCTCACCGACCCTTTCCCTTCCGTCTCTCCTTTCTCCTCAGCCGTCGTTCTCCAGCTCCTTGCTGATGTCATCTAACCTAAGCCACCAGCGCCGTTCGCAGGGCGTCTACCTGCAGGAGAGCGGTGTGGGCTCCTCCATCAACCTAGCTCTGGACTGTGAGGCCAGCGCCACCTCCACTCCTGTCGCCGGTCGGCCCAGCACCAGCACGCTCTACAGCCAGTTCCAGAGCACCGAGAGCGAGAACAGGTCTGTACCCACCACACTGGCTGACTGAAAGGAGAGCTGGTCTGTGTGAGGGTTTGTAGTGTTTCTAACCAACCAGAGCTGAGAACAGTACAGCTGACAGGAGACAGAGGCCTTGTCTGTGAACCAAGATACTGGTACACTGATTTTCCCACATTATGTTATGGCATACTGTGAAAAGGATATCGGGCAGCTTGGCTGTTTCTCACCAGCGAGGTGCACCAGTGTTTAAGTGATCCCACAACTCTGTTATCAGTTTGTCCACTGTGAAAATACCAGTGCCAGATAAACCTCTTTTTTTGTTTTTGACATTAGGAGTTTTGAAGGCATCCTCTTTAAGAGAGGGGCGTTATTGAAACCATGGAGGCCCCGGTGGTTTGTGCTGGACAAGACTAAACATCAGGTAAGATGGAGGGTGCTGAAAGTGAAACTGTGGCGCAATGATTGAATTCACGTCCGAGGCCACAAATTCATGGAAAATTAAAAAGTACACAAATCATAGAGCTAAATGTTTGTTTATGGCATTGGCTTGAACTCTTTTTATGTATATAATTGCCTCTTGTCTCTATCCCCAGCTGAGATACTACGAGAGCAGGCAGGATAAGGAGTGTAAAGGGGTGATTGAGCTGGCCGATGTAGAGTCTGTCATTCCAGGAACGCCTACCATGGGAGCACCGAAGAACATCGAGGAGAAAGCCTTCTTTGATGTAAGCTCACCTTCACTTTGTTTAAGTCACCTTTGGGTGTGGGGGTCTGCTGCTGCTTTCTCATCATGTAGGAAGAATGGGGGGGGGGACTCACATTCCTCAGACTTAATTAATATTCATTCATTATTCCAATATGGTTACCCCTATTACTTGCATTGTAGTCACGCCAGATAATTAGAACCTAATGAATGATTTTAGTGCATATAGTAGTCAACAAGTGAAAGCAGATACAAACAGAAAGTCTAGTCCTTGTACATCGGGCGCCCCAACTCTCACGTCGTCTTAGCTAAAGTTAAAGTTTAGTTAAAGGTGGCTGTTAGCTTGAGTTCCACCAAATGAGGGTGTGGTTGATAAATGTGTAAAAACTGAAACTGCCTGAAGCCTTAAAGCTAGATTCCACCGGGCACGGCTGTGTTGCGTTCTGGCTGCCAGAGCTGATCACAGCCATTCAGAAAATACGCGGGGAGTCCATTTTGATGGAGGCCGTGTCAAGCACCACAGAGCAGATGAACCGAGCAGGAAGTCAGTCACAGAAACATCAGTCAGTTTTCAAAATAAAACACCATGTCTACATTTTCTCCACATTCAGTGTATCGCTGTCACTGATATGTCTGGACAACAATAATTTTGCTAGCTTGTTTATGCAAGCAGTGTATGTATGTGCGCAGAATTCATTATTCTTTTTTCCCTTTTCCAGCTCAAGACGACAAAACGAGTGTACAACTTCTGTGCCCAGGACAGCCTGAACGCACAGCTGTGGATGGACAGTGTTCAGAGCTGCCTGTCAGATGCCTAGGGGAGGGGGCAGGACTCTTTATGGAGCAATGCAACCAGGACCGAATGAGCACTGCTGCGGCACCTGACGACATCTCTGCCGACCAATCCCAGTGGACCAGGGAGGGGAAGGGGCCTTTCACCACTTAAGCTCTGTTCTGTTCGCTAGTGTTGAACTAATAACCTCGCGTCACAACGTTTCAGTGTTTTTGTTACAAAACTAAGAAAAAGACAAAAAAAAATAATAAATTGTCCCTGAAGAACCACTTGCTGTCATCTCACCAAGTAGCTGCAGCCTCTCACTTCCCCGGCAGTCTGACCACTATGTGCGCTGGATGTCTGTGTGCATATTATATAAATGCATATTAAAGCATGTTGTTCCATTTCTGCGAGGCGTCCTGCAGCTTAGGACCAGCACGAAGATCTTTCCAGACCCTCCACCTGTTCAACCACAACCCGCTTTCCCTCCTAACCCTAACCCCACTCGCCCTAAAGACGCTCCGGGGAGGAATGACGGAGAAGCTGCAGTTGCACGTCAGCCCCAGCTACGTACAGGACTCGTTCAGCTGCTCTGGAGAAGGATCTAAAAGATGTGTGAGGAGTGTTGACGGACCAAAACAGCCCTGAGGAACAGCAGTCCTCAGGTCTCTGCTCTCTTTGCCTCTCACTGCCTGATGTAGCCCATTCACAGTATATTGAGAGGAAGTTGAGTGTGCAGGGGGGTGGGGAGGCGCTCTTCAACGGTTCATGAAGGATTTCCATACCTTTTTTCTTTTCCAAAATCTCAAATTTGTACCAGAAAGAGATCAATGCTCATCACCTATCCTTACAGGGGGTGATGTGAAAGGATACTGTGAAAGCCATGAATCAGTCGTAAAGATCAAACCAGAAGAGCCGAAGCGGAGACTGGAGCCTGTCAGGTATTGAGTGTGTCGGTGAACTTTCACTGAGTGTTTACAAAGTAGACGAAACTTTCCTCACTAAACTTAACTCTGCTCTTCGCCTGTGTTTTTAATCAGTACAACCACTATTAACAGTCAGATGTTTTAAGGGATGCTGAAGGAAAAAGGAGGGATTTATTTTGTAGTGACGTCTTAAAGCAGTCTTTAGAGGGAGATCTGGAAGGTAGGAGATTAAGAGGAGGGATTACTAATAACAGAGTGAAGTTATGGGATGCTTCGGAGAGATTACAGTTTTTAGAGATGGATATTGACTCGCCACAGTGCTCGGGGACTGGATGTTTGTTACAGGAAAATTCAGGTATTTTTTAAACCTAGGTCTTATTTTCATAATTGCGTCCATTATGGCCAACACTGTGTTTGCTCTCACCACCTCTGTTGACTGAGTCAGAAAATGCAACGGCAGCAAACATCAAAGTTTACAATTTAACTACAGAAATTGTTTCACACGCTTGTTTCCACAAGTCTGGCTGAAAGGAAACAGAAATGAGCTCCCTAAGTCAGCTATTGTAGCCAACCGCAGGCTAGTTTGGTAAACCAAAGCAACCAGCTGGCTTGTCAAACTAGCTGCATGGTTAGCAAACTAGCATATTACTTAAAAATAATAATCTACAGAAAAAACATTTATTGCTTATCGTATCAAATATTACAATATTCTACTAAAAACAAAGGTAAATTGATACTACAAAAATGCTTTGATTGAATTTCCTCAGAAGACAAAAGAAACAAAGGTCTCGTTTGCTATTACTTCTCTAGCATGTACACGAGCCACAGCCTCACACACATACGCTGCTGCTGTGAGCAAACCAACAGGCAGCTTGTTTGGTTAGCCAGCTGGTTGCCCTGGAAGTAGATCCCTATGCAGTTAGCTACAAAGGCTAATCCAGAGGACTCTGTTCTTTGTTTACTTTTGTCTGGACTCTTAGACAGACGTGGGAAATGATTTATTTGGAAAGCTTTACGAGGCTCACACTGCTCATCCTGATATATCATCGCTGTCTTGGAAACACCATGAATCTACACATCAGCATTTCCGCCTTGTATTTTTACATGTTTTATTTAGCTTGGGAGAAATTTGACAACCCACAAATGAACACATAATCGTCCCGTTTCCAAAAATTGGAAATATGTGTTTTTTTCATTGAACAGCAATGATATGTTGTTTTGCTGGAGTTGTGTTTCTTGAATTTCTACAAGTGGAGGTGGCGAGTGCAAATTTAGCATGACCCACAATTACCACAATTATGGAAATAAGAGGCGGAAAAATACTTGACTTTTTCCTTTAGTGATGCGGGGACAGGGAAAGTCACCCAAACGGTTCCATGACATTCACTTGTACCGTGCTTCTGATATGAATCTGATGCTGTTCAGACTCACTGTACCTGTTTCAGATGCATCAACAGCCCACTTGTGTTGTTACTTTCAGTGCTGACACTTGTGCACTGACGAGTCTACATCTGTTAGTTATAGAGAAACAGTATGTTTAGCTGGAAAGTTTCAAACATCAAGTCACGTTTTTTTCTGTCAAAGGTATGTCAGACCCCCCCCCCCGCACACAAACCACTCTGACCCACCCTTGTTAACACAAACTCTGCTTATGTAAAATAAGGTTCTACTGCTGTCTTTGTTGAACATAAAATTTGAAATTGTAGATTTTTTTGGTGTCTAATAACTCCTTTGTATATACTACTCCAGATTTGTATGTAACGTTTATGGTAGTAATTTATTTAACTTGTCTCCTCAGTAAGAAAGTTCCTCAAGCACCACTTTATTTTTTAAATTAGGAATTCAATGTGCCATTTGTTTATTTCTGTATTAATGTGACTAATGCTATTTTGTTTATTTGAAAAATGTAAACCCTCAATGTCTTTCTTTTTTTTTTTTTGTAAACATGTTGTCCTTATTCTATCCCAAACTGTTAATGCAAGAGTGGAAATGGTGTTAGTGGAAGAGGAAGCCTCTGGGCTGGCTTTTAAAGGCTGCTTGGATTTTACTTTGTTGCTCAACCACCGTGGTGGGATGTTCTGGATACAGTCACAATAAATTTTTACACATATGAAGTCTTCCTGGGGCTGGGTTCTGCTCACTGGCCTGCTGCTACTTTAATGGCCCCCTTTTGTGTTCATTAAATAGTCCGTGACGAGACGGGACATTGTGTAACAAGATGCCTAAATGTGCTGCATGCATGAATTTAGTGAAAGATATTGGCAAGTTCATTTAAAATGCACGGTGTAGTCAAGAGTTCAAGATATTAATCAAAGATGCCAAACATACCAATATTATATAATATAGTAATATTAATGAATTATGTTAAACATTTTTTGGGAATATGGTGTACTCAAACCTTAGAGTAACTTAGAATCTGTTTGAATCTTATTTAATCTGACCAACAGGCCAAAACTAAAGTAAATTTAATTTAACTTAAAAGAGTGGGAGTGATTTTAACGACTAAAATTGATCAACAGGTCTACAAAAGAAAAAGATTTCCAGCTGTTGCTTTGTAAGCTCAGTGGAAAGAAAACTATTGCTATTCCCTGACAGTAGCTGTCTGATGTATTGCATGATAATAGTAAAAACAAAGGCTATAGCTAAGGTATCCGTGTAGCTTTCTGTGGCGTTTTAACCATCATACCAACAGGCAGATGGACTGAATACTAGCTGCGTTGGGTTTTAGAGACTGAAGGCCTGGTGACCAAGAAAACTACACAGCCAACATCATGATAATACGCTTTAAGTTTCAGGTGACCTTGTGCATCTTAAAATAATCTTCCTGCGAGGAACCGATGGAATCGCTGCAGCAGCCAGAACCCGCCTGTGGGAAGACTCCGTTTTCTTGTCTTTTGCCTGCAGTCTAAATCCAGTCAGACCCAGCTCATCTTTTCACTCTAGTTTACTCATCTTTCTGTGGTAACAGCTACATTAACCACAACAATGACATAATCCTTTTATTTATTTTTATTCTTTTTTTTTTTTTTAATTAGAAATGACTTTCTGAGCCGGGTTATGTTGTCAATCATGTCAATATAGTTTTTAGAATCCAAATAAAAACTGTGGGTTTAAATGTTTATCTGTTGTGTGTGTGTGTGTAGACAAATAGCAAATTTCACAGATGACACTTCAGATCTTTTCCCACCCTAGATGTTGATTAAATATCTGCTAGTTTAGAGAGGAAACAAAGCATTTAGAAATGTTCTTCATTTCTCCCCAGGGCTGTTTTGGTCCAATTATTTATCTGTAAATGAATCAAGAGTCCCTGGGTTATAGCTACTGAAATCTCACACCTGGTTCAGCATCTTGTAGCTCCTATCAGCTGGTTTTAATGCTCCATACCACTGTTTCTGCATGCCACAACTTACACTGACACTGGTGGATTACCTCTTTTTAAAGCTGCTCTTATCAGTAGTTAATTTAAAGCCCACCAAAAGAAATGGAAACAGATGGCTGTCTGACAGGTAGAATTAAATTAGCCTAGCAGTTACATTGTCCTTTAACAATGGTCAGTTGTAATGTGGAGGATAGTGAACTCTTGGTGCCTTGAGTTTGTTTAATCAAAGTTACATTTTTTGTCTTGAGGACCTGCAGTTGCAAGCATGGGCTGCTTTATAACTCACCTTGATGGTGCATTCAAGAACATCCCAACACTTTATGCATTCATTTCCTACACTAGTAGCAATGCCAGAGATATGATCACACCCGTTACTTGTTGACTGAGATGGATTTCCTTTTTCAGGTGAGTTCCAAGTCTGCAAGTTGATTTTCATATTGTTCTGAAACATATTTAAACAAAGTTGGCGCGCCTATGTCCCTCCCTTTTGCTTCAGCCCTATGGGACCTTCTTTTGGGAAAAAATATGTATGGTAGCAAACGCTAAGGCCACTTTTTAAAAATTATTTTGTTTGAATTGTGCCATGAATGTTGTTTGTCAACTTAATGGGACGGTAGGTGATTGTAATCCAACAAACTTTTTGTTAAATTCAGTGAATTCCTCACGGTTGGCTAGCTCTCCATTTTTTGTGTGCTCTGAAAAAAATTCTGATTTTCCTACACAGCCCTGGCACTGTAAATGGAAAACAAGAAAGTGGTGTGGACCTTGCCACAAAAGACTGTTTGAGCCAATCAGCTGTGTCAAGCACTGAAGAGAGGGGTGTATGTGTTTGGCAGATGAGTTCAAATATCAATCCTTCTGCAGAATCACTTTGGCTACATTCACACTGCAGGCCTAAAGCTCAATTCCAATGCTCCTGTGTGAACCGTCCACGGCCTGAAAGTGACCCGCATGCACAGAAGAATAAAACGACAAGGAGCCACTGAGGTTAGCTCATACTTGCTAACCCTCCCGATTTTCACGGGAGACTCCCGTGTTTTATTGCCCTTTCCCGGTTTCTTCCCAGGTCACATTTCTCCGATTTATGACAACTGTTCACAACTTTGTCCTTTTTATTACGGTTTCTGGTGCCGTACAACGCATCTGCCCCACAACCCACTCTCTCTCTCCCCTGTGGGCTCGGAAAATTAGCATGCATATAACTCAGAAGAGAGCTTGCGATCTGGTGGATTTCAGGTGGAAGAAAGGGGATTTGTGAGCAGATGATAGCAAGGTAGAGGAGGAAGAGAGCCACATGTTTAATAATTGCTTTTGTGGAGCTTTTTTGTTCAGAGGCTCCGTCTACAGAAGAACTGTGACAACAGCTGCTCTAGAGTGACGTTAAAGTTGCATTAGTTCCGACCGAGTCTGGACACTCAGGCCGCATTTAAAAAGATCCGACCCGATATGAAAGTGGCCTGTTCACACTGCAAGTTTTTAAAAAGATCAGATCTGAGTCACATATGAGCAGAAAAATCGGATTTGGGTCACTTTGGCCTGCAGTCTGAGCGCAGCCTTACTCTCTCTTTAAAAGATCATTTAGTATGTCAAGAAAGTTGCAGAGTGCCGTAAAACAGTAAAGTAACATTTCATTTTGTGTGAAACCACTCTATGAACTAAATATCAGGTCTCACACAATACAAGTCAACAACATGTTAACGCTGTAATGCTAGCTAACGTTCATTACTTGGTTGCTAGATAACTTAACTTTATTGACATCTTTGTCACTTTACTGCCAAGTGGTGGCACGGATGCAGTGGATAAGACATACCTCAGTGTGGGAGACCAAGGGTTTGATTCCCAATGTGACATCCACCAATGTGTCCCTGAGCAAGACACTTAACCCCTCGTTGCTCCAGAGGCCCGCAACCTCTAACATATATAGCAATTTTAAGTTGCTTCGGATAAAAGCGTCAGCTAAATGAATAATTATTATATAATAAAAGGCATAGAATGATTAGATAGGCAAGATAGGCATCTTTAGAAATGTCAAATAAAACTAATAATAAATCTAATCAGCAACTAGCTAGGTAATTTAGCTATGTTCCACGCACAAATGTATCTCACCTGATGTGTTTAATCCAGCGACTCCTGGTCCTCTCATCACATCATCTATACATTGAAGCTCTTTGACGTTAGCTTCAGTCACTGAGAGAAAAAGTTATGACACATACACGACTTTTGGGTTTGTGGTCTTTCTAATTACGTATTTTCAGTCTTATACTTCAACAGTTTCACGACAAAATACAACTGTCTTGGCTTGCAAAATTATATTTTCAGTTGACAAATATTAAGTGTAACTCAGGGCACAATCCCCTCGGGGTAAAAAATGTGTTGTCTCTCACCGTTGGCTATCGTACATAATTTTTCCAAAATATTTCGCCCAAAATAAGGTCCCATGTTGGTCCACCGGAAGAAGGGGAGGGACTTATGTTCTCTATGGCTAATGGCTTGGTGAATTTCAATAAATAAAAACTAAAAGGTTTTGGAAAATGGTTAATAGTACTATAAAATGATTTGTAGTTTAAGAACTTGACATGAAAAAGCAGTCTTTCAGCAGACTTGCACTACCCCTGCCCTACTTTAACCACAAACAGCACCTCTGTGACTTTGATAACTCTAGCATCAGTTAGTATCATAAAATACTTCAGAGACAGCATTATGATGTTTAGTGGCTTCCTACCAGCTCCTGGGCTGCTGCTCTGTGGCTGACCCTGACCTCTGACCTCCCTGCAGATCTCTTCTCAGGATTACGTGGGCTTGTGCAGACTCTGTATGACTGACATCTCTCTCACTCTGACCAATTCATTGCACCTGTTGGGCAGGACAAATGACACCTTTATCATCCTTAAAAAGAGTCCAGTGACATCACATAACTGCAACTTGAGCAGAGGTCAACCAGAACTGAAAACACCTTTGAGGGTGTGCAGGGCCTTTAAACTGAAAGTCCTGGTCTTACTAACATGAACAGGCAGCCAGACCTTTGCAGAGATGGAAAGACAACAACCAGACGGGCAAAGCAAAGCTTTTGGTATTAATGTGGTCAACCAGACACTTTTAATTTCAATTATTATTTTTTTTTTTTTCAACAATGATCGTAGAACCTGATCGCTGTCAAATGATTTAAGTAAGTACACCAAAGAGGCCTGGAGCTCTGCAGAAGCCAGATCTGCCCTCTTTCCAATCCTGCTGCTCAGAGAGAAATGAAATTAAACTTAAAAAAAAAAAAAAAAAAAAAGAAAGAAAGAAAGCGTCACTCTAACCAGATGCCACTCTCGCCCTGTGAGTAAGTGCTTGGTGGAGAGAGAGAAAAAAGGAACAGACAACAATAGTAATCTCAAGATTGCGTGTAAAATTACTTTTTAAATGTAGATAATATTTGTATATAGGTAGATAATGTTTGGTTGATTTAAGGGGAATAGCAAGAACAACTTAAAGGTCAATACAATCAGAAGGTCTTAGCTCACTAGCTAGGTCAACAGAGAACCAGTTATACATGCACTAAAAAGAAAAAAAAGAAAAGAAAAAAAGAAAATAACATTTAAAAATCTGACAGGTCAGGTTGAGATTATATCCAAATTTGTTTGCCCAAAACTACACCAATTGAGTCTCCAACGCTAGATTGATTCTTTTCAAAAAGGAAAAAATGTTGAATTTCATTTTTAAATAAAATGGCTAATTGACATTATTGCACATGAGCAAAAGACAGTAATACTATTAGAGCTCTGTTCATCAACTTCCTCCTCCTTGATGGACCCTCCCGAAGCACTTCAAACATTCAGAAACCTGGTGATGTACGACAAGAGATGTTTCATCAACAGCAACCAAAGAGAAAAAGAAAACCCCCCCCGGAAACAACGGATAAAAAACCTTGATCTGGGTGTGAGGACAGATAAGACGGCCAGCAGAGATGAGGGGAGAATTCTAACATTGTGCTATAATGTACAGTAAACGGCTGCATAAGTGCTTTTTCTTAAGCTTGAAGGAAAAAATAAAATAAAATAAAAAAGAAGGTATTTATTGTTGAGGCATCATTGAAAAAGTTAGCCTGTGCTATCCATTTAGGGGTGACGATGTAAAATCCCTAACAGTGGGATTCCAACAGCTTTGAACAAGTAGAAGAGAAATCTTTGAGGACATAAAAAAATAATAATGATGATGTTACCCCTCTGATTCTGGCGTTTCAAAGATCGCTGCTACATTAAAACCGCACGCAATTATGTGCAACATCGGAAAAAAGGCTTTGAAGATGATTCCTCTACACACTCCATTCTGTCTGTTGGTTTTGTTTGTTATTTTTCTTTTTTTTTTTTTTTACATGTTCCGCCGCCTCATTATTGGTGTTGATTGGCAGTGTCCAGGTCCAATAACATGGCAGAGTGATTCAGTAAAAACACTGTAGTTGCAGTGAGGTTATTCAGGGGAGTCACTCTGGAGGAGGCTGACAGTCCGCGGCACCGTCACTGATGGATTTGGTGGCGCGCTCTCGCTCACACCGGCCCGTTGACCGACACTTCCTGCGGCGGTGGCGTTTCCTCTCTGTTAGGATGACAGGGGAAACAGTCACATACACGGAGAACCTAAGAGGATGAGTATCTGCTGTAGGCGGATTCGGCTGGGAGAAAATGCACAGACAAAATATACAAAGCCTTGAACTTCATCTTTATCTCCTCTTGATGAAAAAATGTGGGGCCACAATAA